AAGCTAACCACTTGAAATTACAACAGCAGCAGCAGCAGCAGGATTGACCAAGCAAAATTAGCAAGAGAGGCGAATTCCAAAGGAAAGAACACACCTTTCTCTTGATAGGCAATCGTTGCTCTCGTTCTGGCTCTCGTCGCTACAAGTTGCTTGTGCAAAAAGGCATTCTAGAGAGAGAGAGAGAGAGAGAGAGAGAGAGAGAGAGAAGCAAAATCGACGAGGAACCCAGAGACGGGTCTAAAGCTCTTCTCTTATTCAGACACAGAGTGGTTCAAAATGCGTGTTTTTTCTGTGGTGGGGGATGGGCAATACAAAGCGAAATTTCAAGAAAGTCAAACTTGGAATGCAGTCTCGAAGAGGAGAGGGGGGGGGGAGGGGCGAGGATTGCAAGATATGAGGAAGAGTCGTCATGGGGTGGCGACAACGACAACGACAACAACAACCCCCCCATCAAATTGATCAAGAAAGTCAGACATTGCATCAACGAGAGAAATTAGTAACATCAATCGAATAAAAGAATCTCTCTCTTTCTCTCTGTTTTTGTCCAACACAGGGGGCGTCAGAAAAGTCCTCCTTCCAGAGAGCGAGGGGGCGATTTGTCTTTCAAGAAAATCCTTCCAGAAGACAGGACCGCGAGCGAGCTGAGAAGGGTCTTATTCAAATGGAGGAGGAGGTGGCTCAATTTGACTGGAACCCAGACGACGACGACGACGACGACTCCATTCTCGGGTTTAGATTTTCTTTTTTCTCTTCCTACCTGACAACTTGGAGGCGAGAGAGTGAGAGACAGAGCTGCTTTCCATCCTCTTTCTCGTCCATTTTCCTCGTTGGAACAGAAACAAGAAACAAGAACCAAGAATCGACCCCCTGGTCGGTGGTGATTGAAACCGAGCTGAAGGGGGCCTCTGCTTTCAATTACCTCGACGCTCTCGAGAATTCAAAAGCCGTGCGAAAACTTGGTTCTACTTTAACTCTTCTTCTCCTTCTTCTCCTCCTCTTCGTGTTCGTTCTGATCTGTCTCTCTCTCTCTCTCTCTATCTCTCTAATAATGACGAATTGACGACGGCAACAACCATCTCTTTCATCATCTTCGCTGCTGTTGCTGATTTCGCCTCTCTTTTTGTTCCTTTAATATCCTCCTTCTTCTTCTTCCTCGAGCAGAAATATCGTACTAAAAGTCACGAACCCTCAGAAAAAAAATCAATTGCACAGTCCGATCCGCTCGTAATATTTTGCTTCGGAGGAGAAAAGAAAATGAGTTAACCTCGTCAAAAATCTCAAATCGATTCATCCATCCGTGCGTACAAGTGATAAGTGTTTGGAATGAGTCGGGTTGGTGCTGTTATAAACAAGTCACCGGTAATGTAAAATTGCTGTCTTTTTCTTTCCCTTTTGCCTATAAAAGGCATGATCTGTAATATGTTGAGGCAGACTAGCCTTCGGTGATGAAATCGCTTGTTTAAATCATCCAAAGCTAATTTTCCCTCGTGCACTCGCCTTCGTAAGGATCTTGTGCATCGAAAACCGAGGTCGGAAGGTCTTATGTTCGAAATGAGGGTTTAGCTGGATGTTAAAAGTCGGTCTCGACAGGAGTAAGGCCTATGAAAGGCACCGCGAGGGGACTGAATACCTACATTTGTTAATTTCTTGTTCGAATCACAAAAAATCGCAAACCGGTTCACTCGGTGACGTACCCCCTTCAGTTAACTTCCATATGATACCAAGCAGCTTAGGTGATCAGCGTGTGATGTGGATTCAACGTGGAAATTCAACATAAATGGGTCTCATAAACGACGTTGTTTTGAGGAAGTTGGATATGAAGAAAACGAATTTTTCCCTGGGAGCTCCTCTCACGTTTTCGGAAACCTGCTGGAATCCCTAATTTTACCTTAAATTTTTGGTAAATGTGGCACGGATGTACCGATTTAATTTTTTTATGACACGAAATTAGTTTGAAGTAAATATAGCACGAATGTTCCGGTTTTTGATTTTTTGTTACACGAAATTAATTGGCGGTAAATGTCGCACTTGTATAACAATTTGAGATTTTTAGTGGTATTTTTTTCAATTATAATAAGTCAATATTAGAAAAGAGAATAACCAAAACATTCTAATGTCAATATCACCAAATTTTCAAACATCTAGATAGCTCAATAAAACAAAAATATATTATTTTTTCTTCAGTGAGAAACGGAAATTGCGGATCATGTTTTTGCTTATGGTTGGACGAACCGGCAAGCTTAAGTGTTCGAATGAAGTTGCGTAGTCAAATTTGGCTACTGTTTCCTCCTTGACATGCATGTGCAACGATACGACCGTTACTTACATAAAACGAGGCTAGCGGGATTAACTAATCTCGAAATAAACATCATAAAAAATTGAAAACATCATTTTTAGAAGGATTTTGTCGAAGACACCGATTTCTTTTTTTTTTTCTCGCATTGTATGTAATCGGTATTTCGAAAAATTAAAGTGCTCGAAGTTAAATTCTTTTTTTCGAATTTCGGACTACATTAAGGAGACGGACATTTAGGACGGACGCAACTAATAATACGTCGACAAGTCCGAGGCAAAAATGTTACGTGGTTCAATTAAATTCACAAATTTTTGTTTGGGTTCCCCTTTGTCTTCTGCTCTTGTACTGATTTAGACAAAGGTCCAAGGAATCCTTCCCATTATTAGCACAAGTGTTGCACCATAATCTAACTATAAACAAAAGTGCCTAGGAGGTCGTCCAACTTCCTCGTGTGAATTTGCCCTTTGGCAACAAGGTTTTGGACCTTAATTTTCCATAAATCATAAAAAAAAAAAGAAGAAGAAGAATATTGATTCTAAAGCAAGTATCAAGTCCTAATAATACCTAATCTTTTTTCCATAATTGATAAAGAAAATATGGCAAAAAATGAGATTGATGACTGCCCGACATAGGGCCGACCCATCTTATTTATGTATCTATTTATTGCTAAGCACATAGAGCCTACAATCATAATTGTCAAAACAAAACATAAAAAAAAACACAAAATAAAAATATCGTGACAAAACATAAATATAGCAAGTGACGTGTTAAAAATATATTATTAGATTTTGAGAATCTCTCGTATCATACGAATGAGTTGAAATCCTTAACATAGATAGGTTATGCAATGACGACCTCAAGTTACAAATTTCAAATCGACACGTCTTTGTTTTTTTGGCTCTTTTTTTTTTAAAAAAATTGGAGGTTATTTATTTATTTTTTTCAATTGGGTACGTGTTAATTACGTAATTCTCGTTCGTCCGCACTTAATCTAAAATAATGGGTTCTAGAAAGTACGTCATTTTTCACCAATTCCATTCTTGATAGGCTGTCCAAGATTGATTGAAATGTTGCAATTAAATAATTATTTGATTAAGGAATGGTCAAAATAGAGACCCACTCCCCACGTCCGATCTTAAATTTTTTATATTTAAAAAATATAAGCCTTCTAGATGGTGGTTGACCTTGACTCCACGCCTGCGATTTTCCACAATAAGATAGTGAATTTGACATTGAAGCGAGCACATCGATATCCATTCAAAAGGGGAAGAACCACAAAAAGTCCCCATCGCAAAGACGTGATGATTTTGGAGAGGCCGTTATTATTAATTTGCATCTCTCTAAGTAGCGGGGATTAAAAATGTTAGGAAAGGCGAAAACATCGTCGAATCCCGCGATTAATCGACCGTTGCATCACAAATTAATGAAAGTGTTCTGTAAGTCGGTACGCGCGCCTTTTCTAGATTTCAACGGTAGGATAAGAAAAGGAATGTAAGGTAGGAAAATAGACGGATTAGGGCTTAGGGGAGGATGCAACAACTTAGAAAGGGACACGGCTTCTCGTTTCGATATTCAGTTTAACGAGAAAAATGTACACCGGAGCTAGTAGGTAAGTAATATCTCGCACCGGCAATGGATCTAACAAAAAAAAAAAGAAATAATCAATATGATTTTTTGCATATGGCGATTCCTTATTTCTCGACGCGAGGGAATCGCTACCGTTGAAGGATGTTGAGTTGTTGCTAATCGGCGTTTTCTCGCTACTTTGTTTGGAGCGACGGTTCTCGACGATCGATACCGACATTGCTAAACTCGACGGATTTCAGGACGGTTTCAAAGTGGACCGAATTCAACCAGAGCGACCTATCGCTACACCTGAACGTAGTCATGCGACACGACCAACGTCGAGTGCATCCAAAGAGAACACAACGAACCTAACCGAGTTTGGCTCGGTGGTAGCCGTTCATAATCTTTAAAATTCTTCCATCCACTCCTACACAAAAAGAAAGAATACATTGTATCATCAGATAGTGTCAATTCCAATATATCAACATATTATTATTTTCTCCAACATATATAATATATATAATGTAAAGAAAAATGAAAAAAAATGGAACCAAGAAGACGTGGTGCGCGCGTCTCCACCGACAATGCAATCGTCTTTGCTAACCGACTCCTAACGTCGCGTCGAATCCATATGATGTTGTCCCAGCGTTCCTTTAATTCTCAGCCACGTTGTTGTACTAAGTGCCCCTTTTCTTTTTTTTTCTCAGGACATTATGAATCCATGATAACTATACTGCCCGAAATGGACTTTCCATTATGACGTCGGAACCAAATACCGTCCCGTTTTCGCGCGCGCGGCCCCCTCGCTTATCAAATTCCACGTGGGTCGTTCTTAATCCGGCTTGTATGCGAGATGGGTTGTTAAAAGTATCCCATATTGTTCGTTTATGGGATTATATACTCCTAATGTACATAAGCTTTGGAATTCGAATTTTCAATATGCTAAACGATCTTTGTTTTTATTTTTTTTTCCCCCATTGATCCCTCCCTTGATGCTTCTTGCCGTCCATGGATGCCAAAACCTACGTCCAAGGCAAAGCATATCACAAGAAAAGAACAAAAAAGAAAGAAGCACCAACGTATAGACATGGTCGTGACAATCAAAGTTCGTGTGTTTTAACCTATGTTTTAATTTTCTCTGCACAAAGAAAGCTGAAACCGTCTCTCAACATGCCCCCCTTTGGATTCATCATCAATACGGGTCTTCTCAAATCGATACGAGAAAACGCGATCGGCGTCGCCTTGGCTCTGGTCGCGATTCTAATTTCTGGGATCTACATTTTCAGGAGGAGCAGATCAAGAGGTTCGTGGAGAATTCTAATTTCGCTTTCGAAGGGGTCATTTTCTTATTCAGCATCCTAGCAAAAAAATGTCTTGACGAGCTATGATGTTCGACGTATTAACAACCCTAAAATTCGTCCACTGGTGACTGGGCCACGTGGTCCATGAGCTATATGTAGCTTAGCTGCCGTCTCGATTTACTCGTTTTAGGGTTTGGCTCCATTAGAATTCAGACAATGGCGTAGAAAAGAGGGTAAATTTGATGGCACCTTTCCGTGTTTGGACCGAATTATGTAGACAAATTAGACATTGATTCTTGGAAGGAAGAGAATCGAATGCGGTTCAGCTGACCCCAAGGACGTGTTCCTCAATCCAAGGGGAGAGGAAATAGTTTGCTTTCTAATTTTCCAAAACGAACGAGACGTGTTTCACGACCTAATTTACGTGGATTAATTCTTGCAAACTTCGTATATACGTCGAGACGGGTCGGTGTGATTTGACGGTCTTTTTCCCCCCTTCCACGGCGCTCGAGTATGTCCCTCTAATTTAAAATATTTCACTCGTCATCGTAGATCTCGTGAAATTAAACCTATTCGACCATCTTCTCGTGTGCCGATTTTATTACATCGTAGCCAATTTTTGTATGGTCCATTAAGGCTGCTTGGACCCCAAGAAGTTCAAGGAATTCAGACTCGTCAAGAAGACCCAGATCAGCCCTAACTCAGCAAGATTCAGATTCGCTCTTCCCACGCCCACTTCGGTCTTGGGACTTCCTGTGGGACAACACATAGTTTGCAGGTATAATACAAAAAAAACGAATTCTCAAAAATAATAGTTAATGCGTATTCGTAAATTTATAATGGACAGTAAATATATGGAGTGCAATTACCATTTCACTAATCTACGTCGAGCAGAGGGAAGGATAGAGACGGCGAAGAAGTTATCAGGCCGTACACTCCCATCACTCTGGACTCAGATCTTGGTTACTTCGAATTGGTTGTGAAGGTATATATTTTCATTAAAGCAAATCATTAATCAAACTATGCTAATCTACTATTATTGCCAGGACTGTTTTGTGATTTGGCCAAGTTGTAATGGATTGATCTGGCGAATGCTTTTAGATGTACCCAAAAGGAAGGATGTCTCACCATTTCAGAGAGATGCGTGAAGGTGACTACCTTCCTGTCAAAGGACCCAAGGTACCAATTAGTTCTCCAATTCCTCAAGTTATAGATGATATGTACATGCTACTGGCTAGCTAGCTGCTTTCAACTTGATCTGAACATGGGCTCTCGCCCGGGCCAAACGGGCCCGGAGAGTTAACTTTTTGCCGGCTCGGGAACCGCTATTTAGCTGCGAAGCTCAGCCCCCGCCGGTTGCGACGGGCGAGCTTGGGCGACGAGTTAGGCCTAACTTCAAAGCTCGGCTCGGTCTAACACGAGCCCGATGATAACCCTCCTCTCGATTTTTTAGCTGGCCAACAAAATATAACATCTTTTGCTCATCTCATCTCATCTCATCTCATCTCAAGGGACGATTCAAGTATAAGCCCGGTCAAGCTCGTGCGTTCGGGATGCTCGCCGGAGGCTCTGGCATCACCCCCATGTTTCAGGCAATGCTCCAATACTCTCATCAACTCCTGCACAAAATATTCTTACTTTTCTTCCTCTCTTTTCTTTTGACATTTTCTATTTCGACGCAGCTTATTCACGCGATCCTGGAAAACCCAAAAGACAAAACAAAAGCGCACCTCATATACGCCAATGTTACCGTCAACGACATACTCTTGAAGGTACGCGTGTATTTCTCCTCGGTTTTTCACTTTCCGAAATCGAATTCATCATTTATATTTCATTCATTCCACTCTTCTGTAATTTGTTGCGCCCCACTAGAGCATCTCAGGCAACCGTTACTCATGCTTTCCCTGAAGTTGATTTTGCTCTGCATTAAGTTGACCTGGTTTTCGTCCTGCTTTTACTGAAGAGATTGCAAAGCATTGAGACAGTTTCAGCTTCGTCATTGTATAACTACGGAGCGATATTCGCATCCTAATGACTTCCTACATTATTTTGCAGGAAGACTTAGACACCTTCGCCAAGAAATTTCCCGACCGTTTCCAAGTGTACTATGTTCTTAGTCAGGTCAGTGATGGAAAATTTCAGGTGGCTAATAAATCTTCGCTTTAACACGGCAGATATATCAAGCATGTTCATCGGTTATTATGCGCTGTTTATGCCGGCGTGTCGCCCTCGAAAATTAGTTTCGCCATTAATCGATGTTTGCCATTTTCAATTATTGACTAGAGATGTTTACGTTGAGATAGTTTGTTGTTATGAAAAGAGGCGACTCTAAGTTATGAAAAGGGACGACTATTGGATACGGAAAGAAGTGATTGTTGACATGAAAAGTGATGATGGTAGGGATAAGGTACGTATTCTCAAAAGATGTGTTGATTGGTTATCTATAAATAGATCTAAATCAAACATATTACATTGTTCAAACAACATCTTCTTCTTCGTAACTCTCACTTTTTCTCTTTTCATACACCTTAATAACACATTTAAGGTGAAATTCCAAGAAAGAAATTGAGTAATTGCTTGACTCGTTTCTCTGCGGCATTGGTGTATATCCCGGAGGTATATTTGTTTTAAACTCGACAGCAACGATATTGATGGCAAATAATACCTTAAGACAGTGATCGTCATCACGCATCAAAGCATCAAAATTCTATAACGATGCTCTATCTTCATTGATAATCAAATTTCCCCAACAGTTTATGCATTATTTTCAGCCTCATGAGAATTGGAATGGTGGAGTCGGGTACATATCGAAGGAGATGATCCGAACCCGCTGCCCACCACCAGCTTCTGATATACGGGTTAATCCCTCCGCTGTTCGCGTGCTTCTGCAATTCATGTTATGGAAATCTTTTCTCCTTAATGAAGCCCTCTTTTTTTTTTTTCAAAAAATAGGAATTCAATATTTTTGGCGTTTTAGGATTGAAAAAGATGAACAATAATTGAGGGAGAAATTTTGGTTCTCTCTGCAATTTTTCTTTTGGTGATTGTAATCTGTTTTTTGGGGAGCTTCAATTTTCTTTTTTATTCTTCAAGAAAAAAAAATGCACTTTTTCATGAATCTGAGAAATACTTGGTTTCCAAACTAAAGTATGATTCCGTACATTTTAATTTTTTTTTTAATGCTTGTTTATAATGTAGCAGATACTAAGGTGTGGTCCTCCGCCCATGAACAAGGCAATGGCTGCTCATCTCAACGAGCTTGGTTACACGCAAGATATGCAGTTCGAGTTCTAATCGGGCGAATTCCTCCGTATAATTATTCGAGTTAATAAGGAAATGATCTCATTGCCAAACACATAACTAGAGAAAGATAGCGTCCAAAAAATGACAACTTCGAGATTCTTGTTATTTATTTGCATGTAAATGTCAATCGAATATTCATTGTTTAATATGTATTTTCATGATAAATTAATGATTTGGGAGGGAATAGTCATTCAATTTAAAGTGGCAATCTTTTAAGTAGTGATATTTTTATTAGAAATGTGGATTTAAGATAAGTTCCGCTTTTGTTGGTATCTGATCTTATAGAGAGAAATAGAGTAAATTGCCGTGAGAGACATTTAGATTGAAATTTGAAGAAGTTGGTTTTTCTCCAAGTTTTATGATTGGAAGTATTTTAGTCATTGACTTAATACTTTAATATTATGAATCTTGTTCTGGATGTATTGAAATATAATTATTTTGTGGTGCTAGAAAGGACCAATTTTGAAGTTATGTTATTAACGAGTTCTATTCGAGGAGTTAGTAAGAATGTAAGATCATAAAAAGTAATTGAAGGTTTTTATTTACATAAAGCTTCAAGTGACTAATGAGACATTCTTAGGCTTCATCTTAATTGAGATTACGGAAATCTCAATTAGATTGGTCGATGGCTAGTGAAAAAGTTCAAGTTGTGATGAATGTGAAAGATGCTTTATATTGTGATCCGATAGATATATTGCAGTATAGAATTTAAGTTTCAAAGATGGTAACGCATTTTTGGTACCATATTTTTTTTTGTACAAGTACGACATTTTAAAGATCTTAGAGACTATTTAAGAATTGATAATTCTTTAAATTTGGAAGAAAAAGAAAAAGATTGCCAGAGTGTTACCATAATGTAATCTTTTTAGGCGTGACAAATCTTAAGTAATAATTCTTAGTGGATTTGTTCGAGCATAGTAATGCAAAGTGGGTAGATTGTTGGCTAAGTTTGGTTCAGCTTTCCCAATGGGCTTTGGGGAAATGCAAAGCAGTTTAGCCTAAAGGGCTTTGGGAAAATGCAAAGACTGTTTGGTAAAATGTGCTTTGAGAAGCAACTTTGAAAGGAATGCCACTTGGTGGAAAACACATTTGCAAAGCCCATTTGGGTGATTAATTTAAGTTTTTTAATTTTTATTTGTTTAAAATTGAAAAAAAAATAATTATTGCAACTTCCTTAAGTTAAATTTTGACAATAATATTAAAGTTATCGTGGAAACAATTTTATTAAAAAAAATAAATTTTATTTTTTTTAATAAAAAATTCAAATGGAAAAAATTCACACCAAAGTGGTCACTTTCTCAATTAAAAAAAGAAAACTTTCATTACAATAAATATGGTAACATATGCCATGAGGAAAGAAATTCATTATCCTTAAAAATTACAAACATCCTTAAATATTTTTTAAACTTATAGCTGTTTAATGACATAAACGTGTCATGTCAGATATCATTTGAAACACTACCCTCCTCATTTAAATCATCGGCAATTTGTGTACCTTACTATGGCGAGTGAGTTCCAATTCATATGAAGTTACGAGGGAAAAAAGAAATTACGGGGATTTGTATTAGATCAGCCAATTTTCATTGAGTAGGCAAAGCACCAAACTTCTCCAGTCTTACGTTTGTATACAAGTTCATGGCACTGCTTTGCCAGAAGAAACCATCTCTGTAGCCGAACCAAAATTAAAATGAATTGCAGATGCCTCTCGAGTCATCATCTCAAACGATCCTTACCCAACCAACCAAAATAATAGACATGAACCAAAATAAGCTTTCATTCTGCATTATCACAAGAAGAGCAAGATGTACAATCGTTTTCAGTGACTTCTCAACAGATTACAATCGTTAACTATGGGCAAGAAAAAATGATAAATTTACGTTTGCAGCTGCCCTAAAAGGAAGGCGAGAATTCTTTGCTTGCTGCTTCTTGTTGGCCTCTTATCATGGACAAACAAAAAGCCATTCACGATGATGAAAGTGGAGCAGTTCGTGCATCGAATTCAAGAGCATTTTCGTATCTCCTTGTAAGGAAAAAGAAAGCAGCTGTACCATGCGCTGCAACTTTTGGAGAGATCAACTTGAATCTCAAGCCCATGAACATATTGTGTGGAACATGTTCAGATGACGATAGTTTATCATTGCCGGCAATCAACTAGAGACTTCACTGGAGTTCCTCTTGCCCGGGCCTTGTAAATCACCACAGTTAGGCTGCTCACAAAGGCACTCCAGAGGATTTGCATAGAAGTAATCCTCCTCCTTGGGCTTATCGACAATAACTCTACGATGACTTGGCTGTGCCATCTTCTTCTCACGTGCCAGATGTACATCAACTTCAAAATTATTCCATGAAAGTGTTCCAATCTGATGCAAATCCAGTAAAACCATAAGCCTTTTACAATCTAATGGAACAATTCTCTTAAATCCAAGATACCTGCAGAAAAAATGTCACAGTTTGCACACAACTTTTTGAAGGAAAATGGGATAGGCCTAATTAATTTGACTAGTTCTTCCAAGGGAAATAATGGAAGAGCATCAATCAAGTTAACACACAAATAGCAATCTCAAAGGACCTAAGATACGATCGCAATCGACATCAACCAATCAGCTAACTCCCCCTCCTCACATTCAATTGGGACAGATCCACCGCAATCAACAATTGACCATTCGTACGTGATCTCTCAACAGTGTCTACTCAAAATAGGACAAACAAGAATAAATTCTTTGTCGCAATACATAAAATCACCCTATGCAAGTCCAATTCTTAAAACCACAACCACACAAAGTCCAGTCCAACTCCAACAATAATAAAAGCGAAGAGCCACCGACCCATCACGCTAAATGCTTGCAGCCGAGCCGAACAATAGTGCCGATCCAGTGGTATAAGCCACATGTAGGTCGAAATTTCCAACGATCACTTAGTCCCAAGCACAAAATCAAGAGGGCACAATTAGCAAAACCCAAAAGCAAGCAACGTAACCCCCAAAAAAGGCGAAAAAGAAAATCCAAAACGAGGCGAGGGAGAGATTGAACCTGTAGAGGAGCAGACGCGAGGGAGAGACCAAGCGAAGAAGCGCGGTCGCTCGGTTGAGCGAGCGCCGTTGAGCGAGACAACACATGCGAGGGAGAGGGAGCAGACACGAGGGTCTGGAGCAGACGCGAGAAGAGACGCGAGGGGTTGGCAGGGAGGAGATTACGTTTTGGTTTTTTCAAAAGGGGTAAATTTGGATTTCTAACGAGCTTTTTAGGACAAAAAAGGAACCTGACAAAATTTCATTAATAAAGAGTTTTAGCCTTCCAAAAATGCTGAAAGCTCAATGCTAGTATAGAGACCAGCATTGAGCTTTTAACCTTTTCAAGGCCAGCTTTCACCGCCAAAGCCCCTTGCCAAATGGTTGCCAAACACCCCAAATTTCCACCAAATGGCTTTCAGGCCCCGATGAGCTTTCAAAATGCTAAACCAAACGCTCCAAAGAAATGATTGTCCAGTGTTTCTTTAATTCTCAGCCACGTTATTGTCATGCATGACCTCTCAAAATGGTCGCTCTTGAGGATGGATCTCATTTGTAAATCACTCGACAGCGTATGCTCTCTTCCAATCTAGGTCTTGAAACATCACAACATTTCAATGGGCAAAAAGATGTGGACAAAATCAATAGGATGTATCCACATTTACCTGAGAGTTGACAGGGTGTGGTAATTCTGACCAAATCAAAGACGGGGTGTGGTAATAGGGAGCTCTTAAATGTATTTTCCTAATTGGTTAATATACTGCAGATTACCAAATTAATTATTCTCTCACTCGTCAACAATTTGAAACATTTTTTGCTCATCTCATTTCAAGGGATGATTCAAGTATAAGCCCGGTTAAGTTCGTTCATTCGGGATGCTTGCTGGAGGCACTGGCATTACCCCTTTATTTCAGGCAATGCTTGAAATATTCTTATCACCTCCTGAAGAAAATATTTTTATCATCAATTTGAAATGTTTTTTTTTTGGGGTTTTAGTTGAGGTTTTTTTTTGGTTTAATACCACGAAAAACCCTAAACTGGTACACCTTTGACAAATTTACCCCGAATTAATTTTTTGACCACCAAAAATCCCAAACCGGTACACCTGTGATAAATTTACCCTGAACTAACTTTTTGACCACAAAAAACCCCAAACCGGTACACTTGTGACAAATATACCCTCCGTAAAATTGGGTTAACACCACAAAAAATTACAAATTGGTAAACATGTGATAAACGGAGAGGTAAAACCCCAAACTGGTACACCCGTCAACTGTTACGTGTCATCCAACTCAGGAATTTGACGGTAAAATTTAACGGAAACTAATGGAGGATAAATTTGTCACATGTGTACAAGTTTGGGGTTTTTTGTGGTCAACAAATTATTGTTGGGTAAATTTATCACAAGTGTACCAATTTGGAGTTTTTAACCCTTTTTTTATTAATACCACAAAATCTCAAAACTGATATATCTGTGATAGATTTATCCCAAACTAATTTACCCAAAACGAGTACACTTGTGACAAATTTACTTTCCATTAGTTTCCGTTAAATTTTACCGTTAAATTGCTGAATTGGATGACACGTGGTAGTTGACGGATGTATCAGTTTGAGGTTTTACCCTCCGTTTGTCACAGGTTTATTGATTTGTGCCTTTTCGTGGTATTAATTCAATTTAAAGGAAACTAACGGAGAGTAAATTCGTTACAAGTGTATCGGTTTGGGGTTTTTGGTAGCCAAATAATTAGTTTAGAGTAAATTTATCACATGTTTACTAATTTGGGGTCTTTTGTGGTCAAAAAATTAGTTTTTGATAAATTTGTTACAGATGTACCAGTTTAAGGTTTTTCGTGATATTGACCATTTTTCTCTCTCTTCTTCTTTTTCTTTCTATAAACTTTTGGGTACACATTATTTGTGCCATACTGGAAAATCTGAAAGGCAATATAAAGGTGCACGTTATTTATGCCAGTGTTACCGTTGATGATATACTTTTAAAGGTATGCATATATTTCTTATCGATTTTCTCTTTCTAAAATTGAAATCAAATTTGTCATTTTTTATTCAATCATGCCACTCTTCTGTAATTTGGCATTGTTGGAAATGCGTAGTAGAAGTCCGATATCTTCACCCAGGGAGATCGCTAAGAGGGAGTCCAAGTCCGAGTCTGTTAACATATCTAATTGGACCCACCTTCACTTAAAAGTTTAAGCCAAAGAGATATGGGCAAACTAGGAAATATTAATTGTTCCACACCACACCATTTATTCGATGTGAAACTTTTCTAACACTACTCACGGGTGTATCTCAATAATCTCCCATTCACGTATGAGTTCAGCTCCCCCTTAATTCAGGCATCCTTATGCATATCTCAACTTAAATCTCCATTATTGCCCACATTCATCCCTGGTCTTTCTCTTCAAATTGAACCATGAAGTTTACCATGAAGTTTGCCATGAAGTTTGCCATCAGGGCCGCATTGCTACACCACAATGTCCATCGCCCAAAAACCACATTGATCTTTAGATTCCTTAGTTGAGATTTCACCAAACATCAGTTCATTTGTTGAAAGCGCGCAGCAGAAGTTCAATACCTTCACCCGAGGAGATCACCAAGAGAGAGTCCAAGTCTAAGCCTGTCAATATATCCAGTTGAACGCATATTCACTCGAAAAACTTAAGTCAATAAGTTATGGGCGAACTAGGATATATGTTAATTGCTCAACACTATTCACCAAACACCAAAACATATTGAGGGTCCACCAATCTACCATAAACTCTAATACTAGTGTTGAATAGTTTTATGGCTCTTTCAACCCAAAAGCTAGCTCAAAGAGTGAGATTTTCCCTCACACTTATAAACTGATCACTAGCCCTGGGATAACCCCAACAATCTCCTTCTCACACATCGAGCCATAGGTCAAAGCAACAACAACCTATATCTCCCGTGTGATACTTAGGTTTGGACTTGTTGGTAACCTAGGCTTTTGGTATGCGCTCCCGACAAATGGCATAAGAGCCGATGGTAGATTGGTGGGCCCTCAATCTATTTGGTATTTGGTGAATAGTGTGGAGCAGTTAATATATATCATAATTGGCCCATAACTCATTGGTTTAAGCTTTTGAGTGAGTGTGGGTTCAACTGGATATGTTGATTGGCTCAGACTTGGGTTCTCTCTTGACGATCTCCCTGGGTGAAGGCATTATGCTTCTGCTGGGCGATTCCAACAAATGGTATCAGAGCCAATGGTAGATTGGTGGGCTCCCAATCTGTTTCAGTGTTTGGCAAATAGTATGGAGCAGTTAATATATATCTTAGTTGGCCATAACTCATTTGCTTAAACTTTTGAGTGAAGGTAGGTCAAACTAGGTCAAACTAGATATGTTGACGAGTTCAAACTTGTTCTCCCTTTTGGCGATTTCCTTGAGTAAAGGTATCGGACTTCTGTCGCATACTCCCATCAAGCGCACTACACTAGAGCATATCAGACAACGGTTAGAACCATCCTTAAAGGTAAAAATAAATAAATAAATAAAATTAAAATGAGAGTAACAGTACTGTCCCCACCACATATATTCTCAAGAAAACTGAACAAGCATATTGTTTGTCCGGTTTCAAGAGAAAATTGTGAATCCCACTTGGTGAGGCCAAGTGGGATTTTTAAATTAGAAAAGAAATAAATCAACTAAAACAAAATAAGAAAATAGAAAGACACTTATTTGACACTTGTAGTTGTAAAAGAAAAATACTCATCATACGATTGTCAAATTGAAACTCGAGTACCTAATTTACACAACTTAAGGCATCGATAAGTTCAGCTCGAGCCCTAGCAATCCAAGTTAACACGAAAATCAAAACCATGATCATCTCGCTACTAACCAAAACTGCAATTTATTTAAAAACTTAAAGTATGTTAGATTTGTTTGATTAACATATTTTACCTCACTTTTATTTTTGTACAACCCTACTTTTTCACCATGCTGGCCAACTTTCAATTCAAAATAACTTAACTAGAGAAGTATGTATTTTGTCTTAAGTTTAATAAATGCCAGAAAGAGATTTATTGCAGTATACAGAAATTTTCACTTGTCTGGTAATTCTTTGAAATCTCATTAAATTAGATAAAAATACAAGTGTGGTTACTAATTATGTAATAGGTGAAAATGTTTTCGCGAGTGCACTACAAAAGAATTATGTTTTATATTTAAGTTGTCATTCAAAGTGTTAAAAAAGCTCAAAAGCATCAAGTATATTTCCTTCTTGTGGGTTTCAAATTTTTTTTTTTCAGGAAAAGGAATATTGTCCAACACCTGAGGATTTTCTATCAAGATTCTTGTCGAAATTTGCTCCATGTTATGGTTCCGGTTGCCAATCCCATTTCAATGAATTTTTTTTTTCAAAATGGGAATTTATTATTTTTGGTGCTTTAGGAGTGAAATAGATGAAAGAATAATTGAGAGAGAAATCTCTTCTTCTCTCTTCATTTTTTTTTTTAGTGAATGTTTACTGTAATTTGGGGAGCATCATTTCTTTTTAATGAAATTGAGAAATCCTTAGTTTTTCAAAATAAAGTATGAGTCGGTCCATTTAATTTTTTTGTTTTTCATGGTTCTTTATAATTTTGCATGTACTAACGTGTGGTCCTCCGCCCATGAACAAGGCTATATGGCTCCTCATCTCGGGGGCTTGGTTACGCACAAGAAATGCAGTTTGAGTTCTGATCGGAAAAGTCCCTTAATATTTATTATTCGTATCTGGTTAACCATAATTAATAAGGAAATATTTTCATTTTCACTCATATAGTATCTAAAAAAATGACAAATTTCCTTTATCGAGGTCATTTGATAAGTGCCCTGAATACACTCGTTAACAAAATTGTTGTTTTTTATTTGTGTGTAAATTTCGATCGAATATGCATTGTTTGATACATAATTTCATGATAAAACGACTAGCGTGAATTTAATATCTTTGTAAGTTTAAAATTGGACTTTCTTTTGTAATAACTGTAGTTTTTTATAAAAAAAATGTGGTACATGAAAGTTTGTGGGTCATGTTGAAGAGTGAGGTCAGTACCTATTATTTCAAAGTACATATCAAAATATCCACAAAAAGAAAAAAATGAAAATAGTCACAGAAAAATTCAAAATTATGCCAACTGTGACATATTTACCTTAAAATTTTTCTTGTGACATCAAACTTCTACATGTGTGACATATTTATTTTCCGTAAAACTTTCGTTAGATGATTTTTCCAGCCAAAACAGCGTTGTGTTTATTTTACTTAAGCCATGCGTGCAGCACCGTTTGCTTTCCGACGTCAATGTGGGTAAATTTTTAACGGCTCTTATTGACAGAACTTTGACGAGGGTAAATGTGTCGTACGGATACAAGCTTGAGATTTTCGGTGCTACTAAAAATAATTTGAGGTAGATATGTTACGACGGACATAATTAATTTAGGAGGTTTTTGGCGTCATTTGCCCCCCAAATAAATCACGTAAAAATAAAAAAAGCGAGGTTGGGAGTTAAGCGAGGGCATTTGCGCCAATCGCTGAGTTCTTCCCAAGAAGACAACGGCCAAGTAGCGCAGCTTGATCGGTCGATCGCACCTCCTCCGCCGCCCGCCCGCCCGCCCGCCCGTCCGCCGCCGTCGGGAGCCGCCTAGTCAACTCTCTTCCTCGCCCCGCGCCTTCTCGCGGCGTCGTTTCCCTCCGGCGCAGGAACGAGGATTCATCCGGACTAAGATCAGGCGAAGCAACGGATAAGGATCGGCAGCGATTCGAACATTCCTCCAGCTTCAACCTGCGGCGAGATTAAGCTCGATCGATGGCCGGAGCCGCCCTCCCCGCGGCGGAGCTGACCACCAGCGGCCGCCCGATCCTCCTCCCCGGCGAGATCGAGTGCTCTCTCCTCTCCAACGTCGAGCTCGAACCCGAAGGCTCGCCGCCGCCGCTTAGCTCCTCCATTCACCTCAGGTCGTCCTTCTTGATCCTCACGACTCACCGCCTCATCTTCGTCTCCGATTCCTCCGCCGCCGCCGCCGCTGCCAAGGCCGCCTCCTATGTCCCCCTCTCGTCCATTACGCGCATATTCTCGCTGAAGAAATCGATCAAATCGATGTTCGCGTCGCCGCGGCTCAAGTTCCAGCTGTCCGTGGGCTCGGACGGGCGAGTGGGCGGCTCGGCGATGAGGTCGCTCGTGGTGACGCTGGTGATGAGAGGGAAGGATGACGTGGAGGCGTTTGTGGACAAATTTAGGCAGAATTGGGGCGCTAGGGCTTGGGAGAGAGAGAAGGAGAGCGAGAGCGCGAGTTCAGGGTCGAGTTTAATTGTGGAGTCGACTGCCAGTTCGAGCGGGTATGATTCGAGAGGAATGAGAGTGGTTGGGGTGGCAGGGATACTGAGGAGAGAACAGGAGATGTGGGAGAGCACTGATAAGAGCTTGCAAGAGGCTTTCCAGGACTTGAATGCACTCATGGTAATGTAATACCTAAAAATTCAGTTTGTTTGATTGACATTGCTAAGAACTATTTAGGAGCGGGGGAGGGGAGGATTTAAATTCTCAGCATTGTGGTGCAGTTTGATTGCTTTGATTGACTTCTATACTGAAATAGTAAATTATTGATGTGATTATTTGGGATGGACTAATCGCGGTTGTCCTAAACTTATGGCGAGAAGGATATACGGCATTTAAAGAGTTCGATTTCTCTGTCCTTGTTTGGCACATTACTTGGATTTTCTTTCAGAAAATGTTTATTGGACCCTATCAGTTTGAATTAATCTGCTCTATAATGTCTAATGACTTGAGAGAACTGTCTAATTTTATGCTTTTGTTGACTAGCATAACATTTTGCACAAGGCATTGTTGCTTTGGGATGAGAAAAATGGGAAGGAGAAAAGACTTGATTTTCGGCTTACTATCCATGTACCGTATTGGCCCCGCCGAAAAAGCTTGAAGAAAGAGGAAACCCTAGGCAGATGTATAGGAATTGTCCTTTTTCATGGCAAATAGCAACTGTGACTGGCTGTTCTGTTCTATAGCTCCTCTCCTATCAATGAGTGGATTGCACCGAGGGCTCCATATTCTTATTTCAATGTTGCCTTGTGCTTGCAGAGTAAAGCAAAAGAGATGGTGATGCTAGCTGAGAAAATGAGGTCAAAACTTTTATCTGCCCCATCTCAAGCTGGATCATCCAATGACGAGGAATTGGGTTCAAAAGAAGAAATACAGGATTGGTTGTTGAGTGTTGGTATTGTATCTCCAGTTACAAAAGAGTCGGCCGGTGCTTTGTATCATCAACAATTATCCCGGCAGGTCCTCTTCTCTTGCCATTTACTTAAAAAATGCAATTTTTTCTTATTGATTGTTTGCATCTGTAACTCTGGTAAGCAGGACTTGGGACGGGTACTTAAAAATGGAACTCCTGGCTTTTGGTCGGCATTTTACTTAGTAAATATGTTGATTCTATATCTTTGTCTCAACATGACAGGGTAAAATAGGGTTGCAGTCAATACTTATTTAGTGTAATGCTTTCACAACAGTGGTAAAAAAAGAATTTTTAGAACAAAGTTGATGCTGGTGCATATTTTATCCTATCTGAGCGTTAGCATGGGAGTGCATAGTTTTCCTATGATTCCTGGTTTTTGTGCAATGTGGACCTCCCAAAATTTGGAACATCTCAAGAGCGCATGGGAAGAGATATTATTAATATGTTTTTGCTGAATAGCTGCTGTAGTCTAGTTGTTTCTGGGTCAAAGCTCGCTTATTGTATTTGATCTATGGTTATTATTTATATAACAGCATGTTCAGTGTTTATCCTTTTGTGTATATGGGGGAAGCTTGATGTATATACCCTCTGTAGCAGTTTTTTTCAGTAGATATAGTGGGTCTACACCTTCTTCTGCAGCATGATGTCATCTAAGTGAGATAATGTTGATAAGCTTTTCAGCATCGTGCCTGTGGAACACTCGTAAAAATATCAAATAAATGTACCCTGAATTTGGAATAGGATGACATGCTGTGGGACTTGAGAAAGCATTCTTTATATATGTATGAGGCTGAGCCCTTTGAATGTGATATTAGAGGACAGGATGAACTACTGTTTGAAATGATTACAGCATTGAAAATGATACACCTCAAGGTAGAAATTATGGAGGTGTTTTATCTCTATACTATGCGTGTGGGTATCACTGATCAATGGCTGGAGTTGGGGAAAAAATTAAAATGCTTGTTTCAAAAGTTTTTCCATAAGGAGTTTGCTGGTATGTGCTTCGCAAATTACAATCTGAGGGTGTGCTCATGAGGGATTTGCTCCATTTTCTACTTTTTGACTTATATAGCCCGATTTCGTTGCTTCCTTTTGTGTTGCCTTGTTGGCCCTTTTCGTTTATGGGGATAGAGAGGTAGAAGGAGAGGAGAAGGGGGGGGAGGGAGAGGAGTGTGGGGTGGCGTGTGTCACATCTTGTATAGTAAATCAAAGCAAGAGAATGAAGATGATAAGATGCATGCTGTTACAAAGCACTTATGGTGGAGTTATTCACCATTTGCTCCTTTTAGCAGTTGTGCAGTTATTCTATACTGAAGCTTGTCTCTAATACACCTGCTTAATATGTTCAGAATTATAAAAAAATGGACTACTTGTGTCATTCAATTTGTACCGTGTGATTTATTATCTTAGGTTTTTGGTTCTTTTTTTTAAAAAATTTTAATGAAAGGTTAATTATCCTTTTGTGGCTCTTAGTTAGCAGATTTTGTGAAGATTCCTCTTGAGAGGTCTGGAGGAATGATTAATCTAATAGACATGTACTGCCTTTTTAACCGGGCTCGGGGCACAGAACTGATCTCTCCAGAGGATCTGTTGCGAGCATGTTCTCTGTGGGAGAACTTTAATGCGTAAGGCATTTTTATCTAGCTGAGAGATGTCAGTGTAATTATTACTTGTTTTGAGATGATGTTCTCATTTTTTATATATATACTTATGGAGCTTTCCCTTCTCTCAGTCCTGTAATGCTTCGGAAGTTTGATAGCGGAGTAATGGTTATCCAGAATAAGTCCCACAGCGATGAAGAGGTGATCTTTCACTTGCTTTCTAATCTATGAAGGTGTTGATCGACTTTACTTTGGGGAGAAATGCCCCATGCTTGATTATCTGTGTTCAGTACAAACTGCCGAGATGAAATGATGTTATGCTTGTAGCTGCTATATAAGTCTTGCTTCGGGCACTGCATTATGGACTGGTTTTCATAGATATGCCACTTACCCGTGCTCTCTAGACAGTAAACACCCTCTCCAAGAGAGAAAATTTTATAGTTTGAGGCAAGAGGCTGCCAAACTTGGTCATGATCAAGAGTTGCCTCATATTAAATGATCAAATAATGGCAAAATCATTCCATGAGCAGTGTTAGTGGTGGGATATGCATGTTTCCTTTGACAGAAGGAACTATTGAGGCATGTGTGCTCTGTGGTTTATATTGCCCATGGAAGTACTAGTACTCTTACTGCTTATCTCCTACTTTGCCTGATAATAACTGAGGGATGCTGTTTATAGGTTTTTGCTAGAATCAAGTCTCTCATAACGCAGCCCGATGCCCTTCAGATGGGTGTAAGTGCTGGTGATGCTGCCATGACCCTAGGGATGGCTCCAGCAATGGCCAAGGAGCACCTCTTAACTGCTGAAAGCCGAGGTATGTGACTCTTAGAGAGATAAAAAATAATGTTGAAACGACTGGCATGCTATTGCAACAAGCATATTCTTACATTGCTTTGCTCTTTGGCAGGTTTATTATGCCGAGACATAAGCCCTGATGGCTTTCGTTTCTACATTAATCTATTTCCTGAGATTCGTACAGATGACATTTACCTGTGAGTAAAAAGCTTCTTATTAACAACGGTCATCCTACTTTGCTATGGCTTGATAATGATATTTGGACTTTGGGTTTTCTTGTACAGCACGCTTTTTTGGTGAAATTTTCATATGTAAATGACTATATGATATTATTTCGTTAGACATGACCACACATGTTCTTTGTACAAAAGAATAATTTGGTTGTTTTTTAACTATTTGTGGTAGGCACTATTAATCCAAGAAATTGAAGTTGTTTTTGCCAAAAAAACAAAAATACTGTTTCTGCTGGACTAACAACAGTAACAACTTCACGGAGCATTTTCATACTTGGCATAATCACTATCTCTTAGGCTATCTCTTAAGTTCTTCCCAATGAACTGCCGAGTGCTAAGTACGGGAGACTCTTTATTGCACTTCAGGGTCACAATTCATAAATTATTTATTTACCTAGCTGTTTAGTTCTTGAGCGATTAGGCTTCCTTAGATCTCTCATAAAACAAGGAATAATATTTAAATAGATGTGTGATAATTATGTTTATGACAGAGTCTTCTGGACTATAGTATGTATACCACAAATTGGGTTTGTCGCCAGTCATTTTTTTGTAAACATCCTATGTTGTCTCTGTTTATCTCGCATTTCATTTCCATGAAAAGTGGCTCTTGGATCTGCTACCCTGTAGCTACTGGGAAAGGACTTATAAAATGATGAAAGACTGCTGCCATGTTTAGCCCTAGATAGGACAATATCTTGTGACTGTACAATATGTTGTCAGTGTTGTATGTATTGTTTGTTCAATTGTTGCTTGGTAAGCCGTTTTCGAGAGTGGTCCATTAATGAATATGTACCAGACATCTCATCTTATTCTTACATGGTACGTCTCTAATTTTGAAAGCACCGCCCATGAGGTCATCCGGTATGAGATTAAATGCAGACGGTGTTGCGATCGCGAATTGTGTTAGATGCTATGGTTGTTATGTTTTTCCCAACCACATACACATATTAGCTTTGGTTTTCCTTTGCAGAGTGAAAGATCAGGGAATCTATGCTACATGGATCGAGTGTGCATCTTCTACTTCTAGGCAAGACACACTTCTTCTATCTCTTTGATCTTTGGTGGAATTGTATATGATATCGAACTCGGGTTGCAGCAAACATCACAGAAATGAGGTTGAAATTGTATTGTTTTCTTTTACTTGCCACGGACTTATGTCGGTCTTTCTCCCCCATAATATTACAGGTTGGAATGAGAGAGACACCTCCTGGTTCCTTTACTTTGTCGCGAACAAATCTCACGTCTGCTGACATCAAAGAGGGATCGCACTCTGCACGCCTGCATTTCTTTAGAGCCGTGCTTTGAACTTTTGATCATCTTTAATGGTGCAAAACAATTGGAGCGGGATTGACTGTTGAGGCATAAGCTGCGTCCCTATTTCGGAGACCGGAAAGAGACGACTTATGGAGTTCTAAGTCGGGAGGTTTATCTTCTTTCATCCTCACGATTTGTTGTTACAATAGATTTAGTCAAAATCGAGGGCCTTAGTCCATGTGATTTATGTGACGAGACGAAGGATTCAGGGGTTTGCCACCGACTCGCCGTGGCATAGCAATACCCTCATTCTTTCCCAGCTTCGGGATCTTGTTCTTGCGAGAGCATTCCGGTACATCTGCGAACGAAAGCCCGAGATGTCCATCCTTTTTTCGTTTTCATAAATTGAAATGCGACGTTCACATGCTTCGTAGATACACACGTCTCATCGTCACGAGCATCTCTAGATAGAAGATTCATAGATCAGTGCAACACTCCAAAGATATAAAATAAGTCTGCTCATCGCTCGAACTAGAAGTGAAAATATCATACAAGCTGTGATGGTTCTGGCTTTCCAATTCATTTCGCCAAAATCTCGGACGTCCCTCAGAGCTTTGCCCGGGCCATGGTTCGGCCTGATCTGATCGGAAGCTGCAAGTCGACCCAATGCGGGTCGATCCCGACGAGACCCGTGAAGAACTTGCCGACCATCTCGTCGGTGATCGATTCCAGCTTGGGCGGGTCCCACTGTACTTGTCAAGATTTAACAGCGGAAGGGGGAAACCATTAGAAAAAATTGAAATAAATGTAGGCAATTTTTTTCTACTTTTCTAACTTCGTTCGGCTTTTCTTTCGACTCTCAACGCTCAGGGGTGTCCAAAATTTTTTTTCAACAATTTAAAAAGTTTTGAATTTCTATAACACGATACATGCACATAATTTGCTAATCCTATGATGATTATGTACCTGGGGCTTTCTGTCCTTGTCGAATAGCATCGCTCTCGAACCCTGAAAAATGGGGATTTCGTCATCATATATACATAGATAATATGGATATATAGAAAATTAAGAAGGAATGGAGAAAATTAATTTAAAAAGGGACCTCATAGAAATCTCGATGCATGGACCGGCGCAACATGTGGCAAGAAATTATGTATTCATGAGCCAGACATTTTTCAATAGTTTGTGCCCGTCCTTCTCTCATCTGGGGGTGCAAATTTGATGACGTCAATAAATGTTCCTTACTCACTTAAGTTCATGATTACTTGTATATTATAAAGTTTCACATATGAAAATAAAGAAAAATAAAGGAAAAAGTGATGGAAATGCAATGGCGTACCGATTTCAGAGTTATCTTGAGGCTTGTTGGAGAGGCTGATCTCATTGACCTTATAGCATCTTTGATCCATTTCTTTTCTCCATCGTTTTCAACCTCATTTTCCTGCCAAAAAATAAATAAAAAAAGAAGACCTAAGTTAAGTGGTTTAGTAAATACGAAGCACGAAATCACACGAAATTATTCACTTTTCACACGAAATTTCACTTTTCGCTCGGATGTTACCAATGACGATAGTATCTCTTCGACGGTGGGTTTTGAGAAGCACCTATTGATAATCTCCAACCTGCATCGCCAAATGACCAATGTCAATCGAGCAGATAATTTTCGACCCCTTTTTGCGTTTAATTTCATGAATCGATTTAGTATAAAGGGCACGTGATTACGACGCCAAGCATTTGTATGAGAATTCTTGAAAGCACACAAAATAATTACCTCCTGAAAGTGCTGCTTTCCTTGAGGCTTGGTTTATGAGCGAATCTGTTTAATAAATCGGAAATGGTTGATTTCTTAAGAGGTGCTTCCTCGCACACACTCTTTTCCAGCAATGGAAGGTCCTGAAAATAAACTCAAAAGAAAATTAGTTTTTTTTTTCCGAAAAATAAATGATTATGAGAGAGAGAGAGATGATAATTATTAATCAGAGGAAAGATAAAATTTGTCATTTATATTCCATAGTCTCAAATAAAGTACAGTGTGAAGAATGCGATAATTACTCGAGAAATAATAGTCCATGTAAATAAATAAATAAAATTACCTTGGAGAGCACAAAATGAGATGCAAGACCACAAGCGAGCATTTCGCTGCCGTCGAGGCGAGCGCCGGTGAGCGCTAGATATTCTCCTGAGACATTCGACCTTCCACGGTGTGATTCGCAACAACAATGACTCGAAAGAGAGATAATCAAATTCGTTTACTGCACGTTCGAGTTCCGATAACCTATCGATGCGCTTACCGAAAGAGCCCGGAAGCTTGGACAGGAACTTCGATGCACCAACATCTGGAAATAGACCTATCGATGCTTCTGGCATTGCAAATACCTATTCATTTATCCAACAAGAAAATGGTAGATCCATATAATAAGTAAAACATCGATGATACGTATATCTAAGCTTCGTTGTGAAGCATAAGCAGCATCGTATCACAGAGACTGGGCAATTGGTGGACCCATAGTTCGTCGCGCGAAGTAAAAACCGCATTCGAATCGATAGCGAGAGATCGGATAATCTGATACCGTGTTCTCGGTGACGACGCGAAACGCGGCATGCATGGCGAGGCCGGCTCCTCCGCCCATCACGATCCCGTCCACCAGCGCGATCTTTGACGGCATTCAAGTCATACGGTCAGGCGAAAATATATACACACACACATCATATCAGGAGATTCAAAGGAGATTCGAACGGCCCTCGCGTAAAACGATTCCTCTTCGACCGTAAGGTAACGCAATCGATACATGATTTTGATTATGCAAAGAGAACTAGCAGTGATTTGAACTGACCACAGGTTTACTGTAAGTGGCTATCAGATAATCCAGCATGAGCTGACTCCTGTAAAAAGCACCAGCAAAGCTCCAATGCCCTGTACTTTGATTCTCCATATGTAAGGAAGCATCCCATATATGAACAGCAAAAGAGCAGATGTGTGGGAGAGAGGGAGAGAGAGGGAGGGAGGACCTGCCCCTGATGAACAGATGAATCCTTTGACATCTCCTCCGGAACAGAACGCCTTGCCCTTTCCCTGATAAAAGAAGTTTGTCTCATGACATCTCTACATCTACTACATTATACAGAGTCAAAAGCTCTTTCAATCTTAGACTTTTACTGAACAGTCTCGACAGAGATCAAGCCTGTTGTCAGATGGACAGAAGAAGGGGTAAGCCTCGGCTTCTAAAGCCCCGCGCGCGGTCATAGTTGACTCTCAATCAATATGCGGGGGGTGGATTTATGAACAATGGAATGGAGGGTCGGTTCCTAAGATTGGCAGATCTTACGAAATTTTTCGGGAGAAAATTGTCCAAAAAACCCTAAATTTATTATACAGTGGCGTATTCAGTCCTAAATTATTTAATTTGACTAATTTAGTCATACACATTTTGACGATTTTTCAATATGGTCATTCTGGCCAAAATTGCCGACGTTGGAGTTTATTCAGCACCGGCTATCTATGTGGCATGGCCGGCCAGTGACGGAACGCTGAGACATGGACGGTTTTTGTAATTTCATGAAAATTTTCTTTTGTTTCTTCTTTCTTCTTTTTTTGTTCTGTTCAAGTTGAAGGACAAGGCCCCCTAGCAGAACATCCACCTAGATTAGGCCGCTGTCCTTTCAACCTAGGGGCCGTATACAACCCAAGTAGGCTGAGCTACAACCGGTCGACAATGGAGGGGCGGTGGCGGGCGATCCAAGCGTTCATCAGTGTGGCGAGGGCATTCACTTACCTAAGGGACAACGCGGCTGCCAAGGTCTCGATGGGTAGCATGACCACGGTGGATATGTCGGTGGAGTGTGCGGGGATGCTTTGGAGAGGCTCTGCGAGGGCGTCGGCCCTCGCCGGCCATCCTTTGCCTATGGCCGGCAATATGGTGGCGAGCACGACCATCGCCAAAACCAGCCATGGGCGAAAAGGAAAAAGAAAAAGGAAAGAAAAAAAATCATAAAATTGCAAAACTTGTCCACATTAGTGATTTTCTGTGAAAATTGGCTAAAAGAACTGTAGTAAAAAATCGACAAAAGTTTAGGACTAAATTGGCTAAGTTGAAAAGTTTATGACCGAATTGGCCGTCGTACAATATGTTTAGGATTTTTTGGATACAATTTTCCAAATTTTTCAGCATCCGAAAGTAGGAATCACAGCGACATTTAGTACGCACCTTCAGAGTTATGCATTCGACTGCAGGATCACATTCATATGCTTCCAAAGCCCTTAACATCTGAACCACCTGTGATTTGGAACCAGAAAAGGTGCACAATGAAAACAACAAGCAATCCCATAATGGAAGCATCAATCTGATTACGAAATGGGTCTTGCAGAATATCATACAACATGTCTTCTGTTTAAATCTCGACTGTGAAGTAATATTTTTCATATCGTAAGTTATATATAAAGTAAAACTCCTGAACAAAACATCTTGTAACAATTATCCGACATTCCTTCGAGTTTTGAGCAAAATTCATTGTACTATCAAATTATACTCCATTACAGTAACTGTTCGTACCATTTCATAAGTGAGGCAGTTCAGTTTCGTGGGCCTGTTCAGTATCACCTTCCTCACGCTCGAGATTTCTTCGAACAGAACCTGTTTCACCAGCAGTTTTGCATCAAGAAAGATCACCCCCCAGAAAGGAACCCCAGATCCGAAACCCGGGCAAAACATCAAGAAGCCGCATCGCATGCATACGCGGGCTGCGGCGACGACAAAGACAACAAACCATGCGTCGCGCAAGATACGAAGTACGTGCATGGGGAAGCAAATGACGATATATGTGCACCTGGTCGTCGTCCTCGAGGTTGAACGAGCAACGGAACGCCATGAGATACCGGCACACGATTTCAGAAACGAGAGAGATCGAGCGAGAGAGAGAGAGAGAGAGAGTGTGTACAATGGCGAGGTACAGATTAGGGTTTATATGGATCTTGTTTATTTCCACCCTTCTCTAAATCAGAAGGTGCAAATTTGGTGGAACCAGTTCATTAACGTCGTCCGTAGATACGCGCCGGCCTCAGGACTATGGTATTAATTGGCGTGGCTGAGAACTTACCATTTTTATGCTCATTTTGCAGATGCAGCAGTTGCTCTCCCTCGTTTCATTGTTGCCCCAAATCCATTTCACCATTTCTACTCGGTTCCCCACGACGAAACTTCTATCGACCACGTACTTTTAGAGTAAATAAGAAATATCGGTTCGATTTCCGGCTCGTGCTTTTCTTCGTCCTTGATAGGACGAAACTTTCTTGAGCCTGTAGTGGCGGGTCACGGATATGGAGATCGTCCCCGCGTAAACTTGACTTAGGAAAACAAATATGGACAACGTCGGTCCGATTCTCCTTTTTCTTGGTTGGGTCGCATTCTGGTTCACTTGCGCGGCGCAAACTCGGGCACCGCCCTCATGGGGGCTATGTGCTCCTCCCACCTTTGGTCGGAGGAAATTTGCTCCAACCATCTTTGATTGGCGGGTTACAAACATGTATGCCAATCATTTTCAGTTTGATTTTAGTTAAGAATGCCTGTGGTGAATGTTTATAACTTGTATCCCAACAATTGGAGACAGGGTTGAAGAAGAATATAGTCGGCCTTTGTTTGTTTTAAGAAGCATGGTTGGATGTGTTCAGGGAAGTTTCCTTTGATTTGGGATGCAAACAAATATAACCCATGTTTATATTTATAAACTATCATCAAGAGATTAATCATTGAGAAAAATGAAGTAAAACATAAAACCTTTTTATTTTACCCTGCGCTACTACAATGGGCCACATGGAATAAGTAGGATTGGTCTTATATGATATCAGCGCAAGACCTCCAATATACATGTGCATATTTTAACAAGTCAATAAATGAAATATATGTGACTCATAATAATTTACAAAAAATGATTAGCAATATTTGTATTACACGCGTATATGGTGCGCCTTAAGAGATTCCATGGTCGTACCGTATTCTCGATGACGACACGAAACGTCCCATGCTTCGATAGCCCAGCTCCTCCACCCATGACAATTCATTCGACTAGAACAACCTCGTACATGGATAATGAACATATAAAAAGAAAGTAGCGAGATTTCACACTATGATTCGGCATATAATCTATATTAACATTAATGTCAGGAGGCATTGCTACAGAAAATTAAGGATAAAGAACCCGTATTAGTTCCTCTAATATAGTGAATAATTCTTTTATTTTAACTCAAGCACCATTGATGGAATGCAATGAGTAGAAACATATTTTTATTCGCGGCATGGATAACAACAACAACAATAGTAATAATAATAATAAAGACATGAAGTGGGGCATGTGCCTATACTTTGATATGTAGACTTGGGGGACTCACCACAGGTTTTGGGTAAGTGGCCAGCAGATAATCTAAGATGAGCTGAAGACCATAAAATCTTGTACCCAAGCTCCAATGTCCTATGATTTTTTTTTTTCCATATTTAATGGGGCATTCATTAAAAACAAAAAAAAAGGTGAAAATAGGAGCATAAATGGTTAGAAAAAACATATATATATATATATATATATATATATATATATATATATATACACAGAGAGAGAGAGAACCTGCCATAGTTGTGCAAATCACTCTCATGACATCGCCTCCAGCATAGAAGGCCCTACCATTCCCCTGATGAAATTTTTCCAAAAATGCATTAAATCACATGCAAAGCAAATTGCTAAAATTGGCAGATTTGTACATAAAAAAAAATAACCGCAAGAAAAAAAGATTTATGATTCCTAGCACCCAAAAAGGAAAAAAATGAGAGAGAGACAGAGAATGAAAAAGCATGTGATTTGTCATTTTCACCTTTAACATTATGCATCCAACTGCAGGATCATGTTCATATGCTTCCAATTTCCTCAACATCTGAGAAGCCTATCAAGGGGATAAAGAGGAGAAAAAGTTAATTGTCTCTGTTTGTAGTGGGTGTGCAAAAGATCTAAAAAATATAAAATAAAATATTTCTGCCACAACTAATATTACTAGACAATCCATGATAACCACAAACTTTTTCGTTTTTTCTTTTTTGGTTTCTGAGAATGAGGAAGCCCATTTGTGCCTTTGCATAAATTTAAGTCATCAAGAGCTGTGCAGAAGATCTCTCGTTCAGTGGTAAGAATGTTAGAGGAAGCTGTCCTTTGAAGGTTCACTAGTAGCACAAATTATGTGGTAAAAAACACCACAAAATCATCAAAACCAGTTTCATAGAGAGAGAGAGAGAGAGAGAGAGAGAGAGAGAGAGAGAGAGAGAGAGAGAGAGAGAGAGAGATTAATTATCTGTACTATTTAGTACCATTTCATAAGTGATGCAGTTCAGTTTCTTGGGCCTATCCAGTATCACCTTTCTCACACTCGAGCTTTCTTCAAACAGAACCTGTGGACCACCTCCATTTTCACATCAACCAAATAAGAAGCCAAAGAAAGAAAGTTCGTATACGCCGTGCTATAAAAAGAAAGAAAGAAAAGATAGGGAAAGATGTGCAAAACCCTAAAGAAAGATTTATCTGAAGACAAAGAGTAAGCTTGTTCATGAAGAAGATAAGTACATAAATACTTACATATACACTCAGACGTATAGATATATATCTGGTCGTCGGCCTCGAGTTTGAAAGACAGATGCAAAGCTATGACATCAGGTTAATTATTATCTGAAACTCAGGAAGCGTGGGGGAAAATAACCCTAAAAGAAACAGAGAAGGAAAGAGTGAATATATTTTGAGAGGAATCCAAACACATTCAGACTTCAGAGTTCGCATGCAACCACTTAACACACCCTGTTGAGAGTTGACCCACCCTCACAAACCCTGTTGAGGCCAGGGTGTGCGCTTCTTATACCAATCCTCGAGTTCAAATCGGATTTAACCAGAAGCCCATGTGTCGTCGCCAGTGAAAAGACGAGTCTTAGTTTTCTGGGAAGGAGTGAGGAATGAGTCGTAAACATGGGAATGGCAACAGATTCACAGCAGAGTTCCGATTCGTACTCGCAAGCAGATGACCGAAAATTGCAAAACTCTCTGCCATTGCCAACTCAATGCCTCTGCAGAACATTAAATTCTTCAGACCCGTACTTGTACCAAACCTCTCTCTTTCTCCGCAGAAGCAGACAAGCAAGAAACTTTTGTTTTGCAATAGGAAAAAAAAAAATAACCCATCAAACCCCAGAAACCCTAAACGAGTTTGATTTGCACAACTATGGCAGGTTCTCTCTCTCTCTCTCTCTATATATATATATATATATATATATATATATATATATATATATATATATATATATGTTTTTTCTAACCATTTATGCTCCTATTTTCACCTTTTTTTTTGTTTTTAATGAATGCCCCATTAAATATGGAAAAAAAAAAATCATAGGACATTGGAGCTTGGGTACAAGATTTTATGGTCTTCAGCTCATCTTAGATTATCTGCTGGCCACTTACCCAAAACCTGTGGTGAGTCCCCCAAGTCTACATATCAAAGTATAGGCACATGCCCCACTTCATGTCTTTATTATTATTATTACTATTGTTGTTGTTGTTATCCATGCCGCGAATAAAAATATGTTTCTACTCATTGCATTCCATCAATGGTGCTTGAGTTAAAATAAAAGAATTATTCACTATATTAGAGGAACTAATACGGGTTCTTTATCCTTAATTTTCTGTAGCAATGCCTCCTGACATTAATGTTAATATAGATTATATGCCGAATCATAGTGTGAAATCTCGCTACTTTCTTTTTATATGTTCATTATCCATGTACGAGGTTGTTCTAGTCGAATGAATTGTCATGGGTGGAGGAGCTGGGCTATCGAAGCATGGGACGTTTCGTGTCGTCATCGAGAATACGGTACGACCATGGAATCTCTTAAGGCGCACCATATACGCGTGTAATACAAATATTGCTAATCATTTTTTGTAAATTATTATGAGTCACATATATTTCATTTATTGACTTGTTAAAATATGCACATGTATATTGGAGGTCTTGCGCTGTTATCACATAAGACCAATCCTACTTATTCCATGTGGCCCATTGTAGTAGCGCAGGGTAAAATAAAAAGGTTTTATGTTTTACTTCATTTTTCTCAATGATTAATCTCTTGATGATAGTTTATAAATATAAACATGGGTTATATTTGTTTGCATCCCAAATCAAAGGAAACTTCCCTGAACACATCCAACCGTGCTTCTTAAAACAAACAAAGGTGGACTATATTCTTCTTCAACCCTGTCTCCAATCGTTGGGATACAAGTTATAAACATTCACCACAGGCATTCTTAACTAAAATCAAACTGAAAATGATGGGCATACATGTTTGTAACCCGCCAATCAAAGATGGTTGGAGCAAATTTCCTCCGACCAAAGGTGGGAGGAGCACGTAGCCCCCATGAGGGCGGTGCCCGAGTTTGCGCCGCGCAAGTGAACCAGAATGCGACCCCTCCAACCAAGAAAAAGGAGAATCGGACCGACGTTGTCCATATTTGTTTTCCTAAGTCAAGTTTACGCGGGGACGATCTCCATATCCGTGACCCGCCACTACAGGCTCAAGAAAGTTTCGTCCTATCAAGGACGAAGAAAAGCACGAGCCGGAAATCGAACCGATATTTCTTATTTACTCTAAAAGTACGTGGTCGATAGAAGTTTCGTCGTGGGGAACCGAGTAGAAATGGTGAAATGGATTTGGGGCAACAATGAAACGAGGGAGAGCAACTGCTGCATCTGCAAAATGAGCATAAAAATGGTAAGTTCTCAGCCACGCCAATTAATACCATAGTCCTGAGGCCGGTGCGTATCTACGGACGACGTTAATGAACTGGTTCCACCAAATTTGCACCTTCTGATTTAGAAAAGGGTGGAAATAAACAAGATCCATATAAACCCTAATCTGTACCTCGCCATTGTACACACACTCTCTCTCTCTCTCGCTCGATCTCTCTCGTTTCTGAAATCGTGTGCCGGTATCTCATGGCGTTCCGTTGCTCGTTCAACCTCGAGGACGACGACCAGGTGCACATATATCGTCATTTGCTTCCCCATGCACGTACTTCGTATCTTGCGCGACGCATGGTTTGTTGTCTTTGTCGTCGCCGCTGCCCGCGTATGCATGCGATGCGGCTTCTTGATGTTTTGCCCGGGTTTCGGATCTAGGGTTCCTTTCTGGGGGGTGATCTTTCTTGATGCAAAACTGCTGGTGAAACAGGTTCTGTTCGAAGAAATCTCGAGCGTGAGGAAGGTGATACTGAACAGGCCCACGAAACTGAACTGCCTCACTTATGAAATGGTACGAACAGTTACTGTAATGGAGTATAATTTGATAGTACAATGAATTTTGCTCAAAACTCGAAGGAATGTCGGATAATTGTTACAAGATGTTTTGTTCAGGAGTTTTACTTTATATATAACTTACGATATGAAAAATATTACTTCACAGTCGAGATTTAAACAGAAGACATGTTGTATGATATTCTGCAAGACCCATTTCGTAATCAGATTGATGCTTCCATTATGGGATTGCTTGATGTTTTCATTGTGCACCTTTTTTGGTTCCAAATTACAGGTGGTTCAGATGTTAAGGGCTTTGGAAGCATATGAATGTGATCCTGCAGTCGAATGCATAACTCTGAAGGTGCGTACTAAATGTCGCTGTGATTCCTACTTTCGGATGCTGAAAAATTTGGAAAATTGTATCCAAAAAATCCTAAACATATTGTACGACGGCCAATTCGGTCATAAACTTTTCAACTTAGCCAATTTAGTCCTAAACTTTTGTCGATTTTTTACTACAGTTCTTTTAGCCAATTTTCACAGAAAATCACTAATGTGGACAAGTTTTGCAATTTTATGATTTTTTTTCTTTCCTTTTTCTTTTTCTTTTTCGCCCATGGCTGGTTTTGGCGATGGCTGTGCTCGCCAGCCATATTGCCGGCCATAGGCAAAGGATGGCCGGCGAGGGCCGACGCCCTCGCAGAGCCTCTCTAGCATCCCTGCACACTCCACCGACATATCCACTGTGGTCATGCTACCCATCGAGACCTTGGCAGCCGCGTTGTCCCTTAGGTAAGTGAATGCCCTCGCCACACTGATGAACGCTTGGATCGCCCGCCACCGCCCCTCCATTGTCGACCGGTTGTAGCTCAGCCTACTTGGGTTGTATACGGCCCCTAGGTTGAAAGGACAGCTGCCTAATCTAGGTGGATGTTCTGCTAGGGGGCCTTGTCCTTCAACTTGAACAGAACAAAAAAAGAAGAAAGAAGAAACAAAAGAAAATTTTCATGAAATTACAAAAACCGTCCATGTCTCAGCGTTCCATCACTGGCCGGCCATGCCACATAGATAGCCGGTGCTGAATAAACTCCAATGTCGGCAATTTTGGCCAGAATGACCATATTGAAAAATCGTCAAAATGTGTATGACTAAATTAGTCAAATTAAATAATTTAGGACTGAATACGCCACTGTATAATAAATTTAGGGTTTTTTGGACAATTTTCTCCCGGAAAATTTCGTAAGATCTGCCAATCTTAGGAACCGACCTTCCATTCCATTGTTCCTAAATCCACCCCACACATATTGATTGAGAGTCAACTATGACCGCGCGCGGGGCTTTAGAAGCCGAGGCTTACCCCTTCTTCTGTCCATCTGACAACAGGCTTGATCTCTGTCGAGACTGTTCAGTAAAAGTCTAAGATTGAAAGAGCTTTTGACTCTGTATAATGTAGTAGATGTAGAGATGTCATGAGAAACTTCTTTTATCAGGGAAAGGGCAAGGCGTTCTGTTCCGGAGGAGATGTCAAAGGATTCATCTGTTCATCAGGGGCAGGTCCTCCCTCTCTCTCTCTCCCTTTCTCCCACACATCTGCTCTTTTGCTGTTCATATATGGGATGCTTCCTTACATATGGAGAATCAAAGTACAGGGCATTGGAGCTTTGCTGGTGCTTTTTACAGGAGTCAGCTCATGCTGGATTATCTGATAGCCACTTACAGTAAACCTGTGGTCAGTTCAATTCACTGCTAGTTCTCTTTGCATAATCAAAATCATGTATCGATTGCGTTACCTTACGGTCGAAGAGGAATCGTTTTACGCGAGGGCCGTTCGAATCTCCTTTGAATCTCCTGATATGATGTGTGTGTATATATATTTTCTCCTGACCGTATGACTTGAATGCCGTCAAAGATCGCGCTGGTGGACGGGATCGTGATGGGCGGAGGAGCCGGCCTCGCCATGCATGCCGCGTTTCGCGTCGTCACCGAGAACACGGTATCAGATTATCGGATCTCTCGCTATCGATTCGAATGCGGTTTTTACTTCGCGCGACGAACTATCGGTCCACCAATTGCCCAGTCTCTGTGATACGATGCTGCTTATGCTTCACAACGAAGCTTAGATATACGTATCATCGATGTTTTACTTATTATATGGATCTATCATTTTCTTGTTGGATAAATGAATAGGTATTTGCAATGCCAGAAGCATCGATAGGTCTATTTCCGGATGTTGGCGCATCGAAGTTCCTGTCCAAGCTTCCGGGCTCTTTCGGTAAGCGCATCGATAGGTTATCGGAACTCGAACGTGCAGTAAACGAATTTGATTATCTCTCTTTCGAGTCATTGTTGTTGCGAATCACACCGTGGAAGGTCGAATGTCTCAGGAGAATATCTGGCGCTCACCGGCGCTCGCCTGGACGGCGGCGAAATGCTCGCTTGTGGTCTCGCATCTCATTTTGTGCTCTCCAAGGTAATTTTATTTATCTATTTATTTATTTACATGGACTATTATTTCTCGAGTAATTATCGGATTCTTCACACTGTACTTTATTTGAGACTATGGAATATAAATGACAAATTTTATCTTTCCTCTGATGAATAATTATCATCTCTCTCTCTCTCATAATCATTTATTTTTCGGAAAAAAAAAACTAATTTTCTTTTGAGTTTATTTTCAGGACCTTCCATTGCTGGAAAAGAGTGTGTGCGAGGAAGCACCTCTTAAGAAATCAACCATTTCCGATTTATTAAACAGATTCGCTCATAAAACAAGCCTCAAGGAAAACAGCACTTTCAGGAGGTAATTATTTTGTGTGCTTTCAAGAATTCTCATAAAAATGCTTGGCGTCGTAATCACGTGTCCTTTATACTAAATCGATTCGAATTAAACGCAAAAAGGGGTCGAAAATTATCTGCTTGATTGACATTGGTCATTTGGCGATGCAGGTTGGAGATTATCAATAGGTGCTTCTCAAAACCCACCGTCGAAGAGATACTATCGTCATTGGTAACATCCGAGCGAAAAGTGAATAATTTCGTGTGAAAAGTGAATAATTTCGTGTGATTTCGTGCTTCGTATTTACTAAACCACTTTACTTAGGTCTTCTTTTTTTATTTTTTTGGCAGGAAAATGAGGTTGAAAACGATGGAGAAAAGAAATGGATCAAAGATGCTATAAGGTCAATGAGATCAGCCTCTCCAACAAGCCTCAAGATAACTCTGAAATCGGTACACAATTGCATTTCCATCACTTTTTCCTTTATTTTTCTTTATTTTCATATGTGATATAAGGGAAATTTTCAATTTGGGGTCCAAAGTGAGCCCATTTTCTCAAAATGGGGTCCCAAGTGCAATCAGTCTCAAAATGGGGTCCAAGTGCCCAATCAGTCTAAATTTGGTACCTGGATTCGCCGGCCGGCCAAATAGTCACTGGCGGCGAATTTTTTTACTGTTCCGGTGGCCGAAACAGTAATTTTTTACTTTTTAATTTATTTTTTTGCTTTTTTTTTATTCTCTTCCCTCCGTCGGCCCCGGCGGAGGCTGCCCTCGCCAGCGTCGGGGAGGGCCGCCCCGGCGAGGGCCGCCCAGCCTTCCCCGACGGCCCTCGCCCGACGCCGCAGGTGAGGGTTGCCCTCGCCGCGTCGGCGAGGGCGACCCTTGCCCTCGCCGACGTCGGGGAAGGGCCGGGCGGCCCTCGCCCGACGCCGGTGAGGGCAACCCTCGCCTGGGCAGGCAAGGGCGACCCTCGCCTTGGCTGGGCGGTCGAGGGCCGCCCTCGCCTCGGCTGGGTGGGCGAGGGCGACCCTTGCCCTCGCCGACGTCGAGGAAGGCTGGGCAGCCTTCGCCCGACGCCGGCGAGGGCGACCCTCGCCAGATCCCACTCAACCTCCTTAGTTCCTCCTCCGACAGCCTCAACTCCGCTAGCGTGGGCGCCGCGGCCCCCTTCTCTTCCCACCTCCTCCTCTCCCTCTCCTTCCTCACCTTCCGCCTCAGCTCGCCGTACCTCTCCACGAAGCTGCCCAAGCCGGGCTCAGGGACGGGGTTCTCGGGCGTGCTCTAGCTCGTGTCGATCGTGTGGCCGACGCGGTGCCCTCGCCGGATCTAGCGAGGGTCGCCCTCGCCGGCGTCGGGCGAGGGCCGTCCAGCCTTCCCCGACGTCGGCGAGGGCAACCCTCGCTTGGGCAGGCGAGGGTCGGCCCTCGCCCGCCCAGCCGAGGCGAGGGCCGTCGGGGAAGGCTGGGCGGCCCTCCCCGATGCTGGCGACGGCAGCCTCCGCCGGCCATAGAGAAAAAAAAATCAAAAAAAAAATTAAAAAGTAAAAAATTACTGTTCCGGTCACCGGAACAGTAAAAAAAACTTGCCGCCGGTGACTATTTGGCCGGCCGGCCGGCGAACTCAGGTACCAAATTGAGACTGATTGGGCACTTTGGGTACTAAATTGAGACTGATTAGGCACTTGGGATCCCATTTTGAGACTGATTGCACTTGTGACCCCATTTTGAGAAAATGGGCTCACTTTGGACCCCAAATTGAAAATTTCCCGTGATATAATAGACAAGTATTCCTGAACTTAAGTGAGTTAGGAACATTTATTGACGCCATCAAATTTGCCACCCCCAGATGAGAGAAGGACGGGCACAAACTATTGAACAATGTCTGGCTCATGAATACACAATTTCTTGCCACATGTTCCGCCGGTCCATGCATCGAGATTTCTATGAGGTCCCTTTTTAAATTAATTTTCTCCGTTCCTTCTTAATTTTCTATATATCCATATTATCTATGTATATATGATGACGAAATCCCCATTTTTCAGGGTTCGAGAGCGATGCTATTCGACAAGGACAGAAAGCCCCAGGTACATAATCATCTTAGGATTAGCAAATTTATGTGCATGTATCGTGTTATAGAAATTCGAAACTTTTTAAATTGTTGAAAAATAATTTTGGGACACCCCTGAGCGTTGAGAGTCGAAAGAAAAGCCGAACGAAGTTAGAAAAGTAGAAAAAAATTGCCTACATTTATTTCAATTTTTTCTAATGGTTTCCCCCTTCCGCTGTTAAATCTTGACAAGTACAGTGGGACCCGCCCAAGCTGGAATCGATCACCGACGAGATGGTCGGCAAGTTCTTCACGGGTCTCGTCGGGATCGACCCGCATTGGGTCGACTTGCAGCTTCCGATCAGATCAGGCCAAACCGTGGCCCGGGCAAAGCTCTGAGGGACGTCCGAGATTTTGGCGAAATGAATTGGAAAGCCAGAACCATCACAGCTTGTATGATCTTTTTACTTCTAGTTCGAGCGATGAGCAGACTTGTTTTATATCTTTGGAGTGTTGCACTGATCTATGAATCTTCTATCTAGAGATGCTCGTGACGATGAGATGTGTGTATCTACGAAGCATGTGAACGTCGCATTTCAATTTATGAAAACGAAAAAAGGATGGACATCTCGGGCTTTCGTTCGCAGATGTACCGGAATGATCTTGCAAGAACAAAAGGTTAAAGGCAGTAGGAGAAGGGCTCGCGATCTTACATAAATGATGCTAGAAACAAGAACCCGAAGCTGGGAAAGAATGGGGGTATTGCTATGCCACGGCGAGTCGGCGGCAAACCCCTGAAACCTTCGTCTCGTCGCATAAATCACATGGACTAAGGCCCTCGATTTTGACTAAATCGTGAGGATGAAAGAAGATAAACCTCCCAGACTTAGAACTCCATAAGTCGTCTCTTTCCGGTCTCCGAAATAGGGACGAAGCTTATGCCTCAACAGCCAATCCCGCTCCAATTGTTTTGCACCATGAAAGATGATCAAAAGATCGAAGCACGGCTCTAAAGAAATGCAGGCGTGCAGAGTGCAATCCCTCTTCGATGTCAGCAGACGTGAGATTTGTTCGCGACAAAGTAAACGAACCAGGAGGTGTCTCTCTCTCATTCCAACCTGTAATATTATGGGGGAGAAAGACCGACATAATGGCAAGTAAAAGAAAACAATACAATTTCAACCTCATTTCTGTGATGCTTGCTGCAACCCGAGTTGGATATCATATACAGTTCCACCAAAGATCAAAGAGATAGAAGAAGTGTGTCTTGCCTAGAAGTAGAAGATGCACACTCGATCCATGTAGCATAGATTCCCGGATCTTTCACTCTGCAAAGGAAAACCAAAGCTAATATGTGTATGTGGTTGGGAAAAACATATGCAACAACCATAGCATCCAACACAATTCGCGATCGCAACACCGTCTGCATTTAATCTCATACCGGATGACCTCATGGGCGGTGCTTTCAAAATTAGAGACGTACCATGTAAGAATAAGATGAGATGTCTGGCACACATATTCATCAATGGACCACTCTCGAAAACGGCTTACCAAGCAACAATTGAACAAACAATCCATACAACACTGACAACATATTGTACAGTCACAAGATATTGTCCTATCTAGTGCTAAACATGGCAGCAGTCTTTCATCATTTTATAAGTCCTTTCCCGGCAGCTACAGGGTAGCAGATCCAAGAGCCACTTTTCATGGAAATGAAATGCGAGATAAACAGAGACGACACGGGATGTTTACAAAAAAATGACTGGCGACAAACCCAATTTGTGGTATACATACTATAGTCCAGAAGACTCTGTCATAAACATAATTATCACACATCTATTTAAATATTATTCCTTGTTTTATGAGAGATCTAAGGAAGCCTAATGGCTCAAGAACTAAACAGCTAGGTGAATAAATAATTTATGAATTGTGACCCTGAAGTGCAACAAAGAGTCTCCCGTACTTAGCACTTGGCAGTTCGTTGGGAAGAACTTAAGAGATAGCTTAAGAGATAGCGATTATGCCAAGTATGAAAATGCTCCGTGAAGTTGTCACTGCTGTTAGTCCGGCAGAAACAGTATTTTTGTTTTTTTGGCAAAAACAACTTCAATTTCTTGGATTAATAGTGCCTAGCACAAAATAAGTCATAGTCTCTTCTATCTCTTTTATCTCGAGACACAATTTCCTGGGTCCTTTTCGCTGCGCGAGAGCAAGCTGAGCTTCCACTTCCACTCATCAATGTTCGCAACCGAAGATGATGCCTACAAAGGAGACGCAGTTTTCAAGACGTGGAACGACCAAATGTTTAACTTCGATTTCAAACGACATTCGACCAAGCCCAAGAGCCAAAGAATGCGCCAAAACAAACACAACTTGTTAAAAAAGAATCACCTTCTCCTCATCAAAACCAAACCCATCTCCAAAGACTGTACATTCGACTAAAATTCAACCGAAACTGAAAGGAGAAGAAACAAAGAGCAAACCTTGTGGCCCTCGAAGTCGACCTCGTACTCATCGTCCGAGAACTGCTCCGCGGCATAGCCGCAAAACCATCGCCTCGTCGCAAGGAATCTCCCTTCGCAAACCGTTTGCTTCGGTAAACAGACCGAACAGGGAGCTGCAGACCCTGCTCCGCCTGCTGACGAAAGCGCAGGGCATGGGCTTGGCGGTGCGTCCCAGAAGAGCGCATCTCAGCATGATGCTAGGCATGTTACCGAGGAAGGCGACCGAGCCGTCTCCATCTAAAGGCTGGATGGAAGAGCCGAAGTCGCCAATTCTTCAGGCATTGACAGCCTCTCTCTCTCTCTCTCTCTCTCTCTCTCTCAAGGCTGAAGTAAGTGTTGGCGCTCTCTCTCTGTGGTTTCGGCCATTTCTTGGGCTGTTCCTGAGAAAGAGGGGCCATGACAGGCCCAAAGCGAATCGGCCCATTCGAGAAGATCCTAAAGGTGCTCTGCAAACCGCAGCAGAAGAGCACAACAGGTCGGCGGCGTCGTCGTCGTCTTCCTTCTCCTTTCTCTTGCTCCTCCTGCTTTCTTTCTGTGCAGCGTGCGCCGACCACCGGAGACGCCTTCTCCGTCGGAGTTGAATTGGTAAAGAGACTCGAATTCCTACCTTCTTCCCCCTCCCGTGCCTCGTGCTTGGGTGTTGTTTCCCGGTCATCTGAATTACCGGGTCAGTTTGTTACTTCCCCCCACCTGGTTATTCTTCTTCTTCCTCCTCCTCTTCTGCCTCTTCTTGATTGTGTTGATATTCGGCGTCCTGCTCTGTAACCAGACAAGATTTGCTTCTGCTGATTACTGCACACGATGCTGCTTCTTCGATCAAGACCATGTTGCCTCTGTGACTTTGGGATGTGCTGCTACTGTTGTGAAATGATTTGTGGGTTCTTTTGAAATTGCTCCAGTCTCTTTGTTTGTTTGCTTGGTTACATGACGGTGCGGCTTTTCTTGTTGCGGGTCCGATCGATTTGAGCTCATTCTGAAAGACTTCAGCAAGTTACTTTGAAAATCACAATCTCAAAATAGCTAGTGAAACTCGATCCCGCTTTTTTCCCATCATTCGATGTCCTTTTGAGTTTTCGGTGGTTTGTTCTTGTTGCCATCGTGACTACGCAGGAAGCGCAGATCTTGTGGAGGTCCTGGCATACATCCATTTCACATGGAACAACAATAGGAGGATTCTTTTGACTGTGGATCAACATCTCGTTGACAGACATATACTTAATTCGGTCGCCATGGATGGAGAAAACTCTCCTCCGACTAGACCCAAATGGAGAAAAGTGGCGTATGGAGGAATGCAGCTTGGATATGACGACAATTACACGGACGAGTCTTTCCTTGAAGATATGGTCACGAATGCCAATGTCGTCAAACGGGATTTGCTGAAGGTGATGCGAGACTCGGTTTCGATTTCTCAATACATATGCATTGTTGTTCTGGTTGGTGTCGTTTGGACCTACACCCTGAACTCTAGTCTCAGTGAAAAGTCTCTCCTGCTTATTGATGCTAGCCTTCTTATGTCGGGGTTCATGATTCTCCTGCTCACCGAAAAGATGCTCTCGCTCAATCAGCTCCTCCATTATTTAGCGAATGTCGCCTTTTTCACATCCGGGTTGTATGTCTTGGCTCCCATCTACAGAACTCTAACAACGTCCATAAGTTCGGACTCCATCTGGGCAGTAACTGTTTCACTGCTGATCATCCATCTATTCTTGCACGACTACTCGCGGAGCACGGTACATGCTCCAGGAACCTGGAAAAATCCTACCTTGACCAGTTGCATATCCCTAAATGCCTCTATCGTGGCTTCAGTTTTCATTGCTTCTCGGCTTCCTTCATCCGGAAATGTCTTTGCTATAATGCTCTTCTCTCTCCTCATTTTTCTTTTTGCCCCATTAGTCACTCATTGCATAAAGGAACAGTCTTTTTGTTTGCATCTCCTGTTCTCGTTCGTGTTAATGGTTGTTACTTTGACTTTTGTCTATAAATTGCATCGGGTGCTTTTCTTCATGTTTCTAGTTTTGCTGGTTTTTGTTTCCTTGGTGTGTCCTTATTGGCTTATAAGGATACAGGGATACAAGTTTGAGATCAATGGCCCTTGGGACGAGGCTAAGCTCTGTTTTGATGTAACCGACTGAGGGCAATAACAGAAGTTTCTTTGTTTCTTTTCACTTTACATTTCACCAGCAACAGCCGAATATGTTCCGGTATTTATCGTTTGCTATTGCTTCTTTTCTCAAGCTAGGGATGAATTGAACTGTGCACGGAGTTTGGCTTCGCCTTAGGCTTGGCCGGAGCTTTGTCTGAAGTAGTTAATGCCTGGCAAGTAGACTGTTTCCTTACTGTGGTAACTGAACTGCTTCTTCGAGGAGAGAACTGAAGCAATTCCCCTCTGACCCGAACATTTTCTTGTTTCGCTTGTGATGTCGTGTTCCGTTAGGGGAAGTATCACCATCGATCGCCCGACGCTGCGAAATCTACATTTAAGGTGAATCTGCAGGGAACCATCTTCGCGGAAGCATTCAATAGATGTTGACCGCTCAACTCGGAACTTGCAAAGCACGTGTTTTGACAGTTTGTGTGCGCGTTGTTTGGGGATGGTAAGCAGGGACGCGGATGCGCCACTCTTGGTGCATCTTAATCTAAATCTCGCGTTTTCTCTGGACAGAGCCTTTCTTTGCATCTCGTATCAGAGGTCTAATGCAGCTCCGAGATCCAACTTCGCGGCTTCCTACGAAAAATGTCCATGATATGATAGGCACTTTACGAGTATAAAACCAGCAGAATCCAGTATGTCAAAATAAATCGAGGATGTCTGAAATACCTTGAGAACCGGTCGTAAAACACCAAATACCGGTCAAAAGACAATCGACAATTGAACTGGTCAGAGCTGACGCGGCGAGTGGCGTCAGCAGAGCGGAGGACCGTTGGCCAATGTAGGCACGTGTCGCTGGGGAGGCGCATGGCAGCAGTTGGCAGTGAGATTTCACGAGCTGCCTTGACGGAGGACTGCGATTCATGGGTGTGTGTTCGTTTTTCGAAATACACAACGGAAGGTCTCCAAATCACCACCAAACAGTGGCAGGCTCCTTTGGGTCTAAGACGCGTGTGGCGACGTCTGCTGGACTTGGCTCGTCTGACGGTGGTGCCGGCTTTCCAAAACGAGCAGCGGAAGTTTGCCAAACAACAACTCAAGGCTTCGGTCTTGGCAGAGAACCGGGAGCGATGGGGTTGGTGCGGTTGGTGTTGTGGCGGGGCCATCGTGTAGCAGACTCGACGGACGCTCCTCAAGTAACAATGGCTCTCGTAACAACTTGAGATTTGTGATGTAAAGAGAAGAAAGTGTAACATACTCACATTACCAAGTGAAGACTACAAACCCTCCTTTATGAGAGGCAAACAGCTTCAATTACAATTAATGTAAACTACAATTAATCTAATCTCGAACACATACACATCAAACATGATTATAACACACGTCTTCATTGCACACACGACTTAAAGGAAGCCAGGAATAATGGAAGCGAGCCAAAACGGTTTCACTCATTGCTCAATAAGTGGCCGATATAATGCTCAGCCGAAGAAAGAAAGCAAAAAAGCTCTACTGAGCAAGGTGGCTTGCTAATGAAGAAGCAGATGCCATTAATGAAGGGGGAAGACGAACGTGGCTATGGCTATGATGACGAGAGTTTTCATAGATAAATTCGAAAGCCATGTGAGAGAGTGTCCGGGCGGGCAAACAAGAAAAGACAGCGCAGGTCAAACCGGAGGAAAAGCAAATAATAATAGCTTTTTTCTAACGTTAGGTAGCGCCGAGACTGGCGCAATCTGCGACAGTGAAAGAGCCTGTCCGCCCATCCTTCATTCCCATCATGGTCGTCACCTTTGTCCTTTTGTCTTTCTTGGGTCGATCTTGATATCATAGTTTCCATCGGGTGCGTGTCGCAGCTCCACTCCGTTCTTTCTTTTCTTGACTCCCCTCCTCTCTCGTGTTCATGGCTGTTTCGGCCTTCAAATCCGCTTCAAGAAGAGGCGCCGCTCAAGCTTCTGCCTCCGCCGGCGCGGCGGCGCCGACTGCCGTCAGAGAAGCTTCCAGGGACGCCCAGAGGCGGGCCCCGCCCAGGAGATCGAGGAGCGTGAGCGCCTCCTCCAGGGTCCCCTCGGACACCGAGTTCTTGAACAAGAGAGACAACCCTCTGTTCTGCAGCGGCGATTCTCCGCCTGAAAACGGGACCTTGCCCGGGAAATCGATCAGGGGTGGTGGGAATATCGGGAATCTCGAATCGAGAGTAGGTGGGGCTAAGGCGGGAGGGACAAGTCCGGGCGTTGTGGATGAGAGGAGGGGGAGATCAATCTCGAGGAAAGGAGGTGTCGGGTCGGATTCGTCGGGAGATAGGAGGGATGTCGGTCGGAGCTTGTCGAGGGTCGACACGGGGCGGCGGGTCCGGTCGGTGTCGCGGAATCCGGTTTCCAGGGGCCATTTTGTTGGCTCCGAGGTCTGGTCCTTTCTCTTCATTGGGGTCCTGAAATTTTGGGGTGTTTGATCAAGTACTGAGCTTGTGTTTGTGGGCTGTTTTCTTTTGTTGTGGTCAGAGTGAAGTTGAGCCAGAGCATCATTCATCAACCAAGTATAAGAGTAGTCGTTCTGATGTTTTGGATCAGAGGAAGGATTTGAGGACTTGGACTAGCCAACACCCGAGTATTCAGCCACCTGATGATTCCGCCACGAGTTTGGTAAGGAGCTCAGCACAACTCGGTGTTGTGCGCAATCTGAATATATGATGGAATTAAACTTTAACTCACGCAGATTGATTTTTTAATATGTTTCCTATCTTAGTCTTCTTCGCAGTTTTCGCATTGGGAAGATGGAGTTTCAGTGGGTTCTTTTTCTGGAGTAGAGGAGAAGACCATTAATGCAGTCTCTGTCTCTGAACAAATTAAAGTAACAAACTAACAATAGTTGCTCTGTTGTTGCTTTTACAGCTTCTCCAATGTTATAATGTGTATGTTGAATTTCACTGCTCATGATGTAGTTCCCATTGTGCTATGACTGCAGGCGGTGCGGGAGGATCATTTAGGAGGTGATGCCTCTCCTAGCAGCATTTATGAAACAGTTCGATCTGAAGTGAGACGAGCAATCTCTGACATTCAAACTGACCTTGAAACTGTAGGTCCTATTGATCTTATATCCATGTTCATAGCACGTTTTCCCTTGCAAATTCAGTGACAATGTAGCATCTTCACCAATCAAGTTTTTCCTAGAGGTCGTATGACTTCATGCTTATTCTGGGTAGACCCAATTAGGAAAAAAATTATTAATGATTAATTTTGGTAGAGCTTTTCAGATGGCCGGCACGCAGGTTGCGTGATCCAGCATGTATTCTCGGAATCCAAAATTCACGCCTTTCTGGAATTTTCCTTCCTCATCTATTATAGGAAGGATAAAATGCATTGTGGAACTGAAACTAGCAGATGCAACTCTGAAGTTTGACTAATCAATGAAAATGAAGAAATATTGTTTTTGCATTTTAAGATCTGCGTTTGCATTCCATGTCACTTGTGGACCTCTACAACCTTGAATTGGGTACCTTGGTGAGGTGTACTCTCATCCAACCATTGCATTCAATAGAGAGAAACAGTTCTCACACTTGCATCTAGCTAAATCTGTAATTATTGTTGCCAGTGGTGAGTTGCAAAAAGTGATGACTACGTTAGAAAGTTACTCTGCAATTATCAAAGAGAGTTTTCTTATCCTTAAACCGGAAGAAATTAAATGGGCTGAACCCTAAGGAAAAGTACCGTGGAGCTTTATCAGATATGTTTTAATATTTGTCGTGGCAGTTGCCATTGTCATTCTTCTTTACACCAGCAACTATGTGCATGAAATTATATGCAAGGTACATGCATATGCATGCGGACTTTTTGAACAAATTTTAAATATCGGCTACTCTTTGTCCATTGTTAGGATATCTTGCATGTGTAATATGCCTATCGGAAGAATCTTAATTTGTGAAAAGGAAAAGTTTAACGGATGATATATCTCATGTACTGGCTATGAAAGATGACATTGCATGACTGGTGATTGGAGGAAGACACAGTGGATAAATAACTTTTTGGGAAAATAAAGGCCGAAAATAAGAGTCATTTCCCATCTCCAGGGGTTGCGGTATGTGCTTCGGCAAGCAACCTCTGCCATTCTTTATTGCTTAGACCGAGTAAATACATCTGTTTTGTGCAATATTGATGTAGTGTTCTCGTGCAGTTTAATTTTTCTTGGTAATGCAATGTTCTTTGGGGCTAATTCTATTGCTTACATGAGCTGTGTGAAAATGGCACTATTACTACTGTGCTCCTCTGAATTTTCCAAAAACTCTTATAAGAATGGTAATAAAGCTCTTTCCCAAAAAAAAAGGTATGGAGAACCAAAGCCATGGAAATAAGGTAACACTAACAATGGCTTCCTGTTACCACAGATTGAGAGGTGTTTGGGCCGTATGGTGTCACTGGCACACTAGGTGTTGCGTATGAATAGGGAGTCTGATCTGATCTGTGATCATGCGTGTGCTCTCTATGTTGAGGATCCATATGCATATTCACGCATGTTTTGCATGCGAAATTGGGAATGTTTGAAGCTCCATGTCATGACATTTATTTTTGGATGCTCTTCATGAGCATGTAAGTGTGGTAGATATAATGTCCATTTCAATCCTTCGTCTATTTTTACGGAGCCTTTTTGTGCTATATATGTAATTAGGCTATTCGAAGGAGCAATACCTCTGCCATTGGAAGCTCCAACGTTGCAGATATTCCCCCTGACCTTGTAAATCCAGAAGCAGTTGAACTAGTCATGGACATCAGGAGAGAATATGCAGAAAAGCTCGAGGAGGTGTTTCCCTTGCTCAGGATCTTTTTGAACAAGATCTGTAGTTATTTTTGTGGGAAGACTTTAAGTTTACTTGTTTAAATATCCACTTGTTATCACTTGGCTGTCACATAAAGAAGTGCTTTACTGCTTTGTAGTGAACTGGGCTAGCAGATTAAGTTTTTCCCATTGTTGGATTTGTAGCTTGTGAGCATTGTCTGGCAATTCATTTTCTTTTGCCTCTAAAATTGCTGATTGACATTGACTTGCAGTCCCAAGAAAGAGCCAGAAAACTAAGAGCAGACTTGGCTGTTGAGGAGCACCGTGGGCAAGAACTGAGTAGAATCCTGAAGGAAATTCTCCCCGATCCAAGAGCATCTTCCGCACAAAAGTCTCGCCCGGGACGAAAAGTGAGTGCTTCATCTATCCTCTTTTCGATTTTTTTTTCCTTTTATTAAACAGGTCAAATCACGTGAGTTAATTTCCCTTGTTTAAAAAGTATGAGCTAGATATTAACCGTTTAGATGAAAAGCTTATTTCTTCTTTTTAAGTTTGGCATATGTTGGTAGAAATAATTATGTGATGCTTCTTTTAAAAAAAAAATCTTAGCTCTTTCTGTGATGTAGGAAGATAGTTTTGTAGTATGTTTCCGGAAGCTCGCCTAGAACATGGAAAGATCCTTATGAATGTGATATGTACTTCACAGGATTTTTCTGATGGCATATATACACGAAAAAACCATTTGTAAGGATTTCACCAGTGATATTTTGCGTGATGATAACTTCATGCATTTGTTATGTCATCGTTTATATTGATAACTTTCTCTCTCTCTCTCTCTCTCTCTCTCTCTCCTCTCTCTCTCTCTCTCTCTCTCTCTCTCTCTCATGAATTTCATCAAAATGACTACAGGGTAGCCTTGAGAGAAGAAAGATGTCTAAACGTTTGACAGAAGAAGCCCTGGCATACTTTGATGAGTGTGTTTCACTGTCAACATTTGATAGTTCCGACTTCTCATCGCCAGAAGATCCACCACTCAAATTAGTCGGCGATGCTAACCCCTTAAATGAAGGTGGATCAGTTCGCGCATCAAATTTGAGCGTGTCAGCCATGCATACTCCAAGCGGTCATGTCGATGAGAAACAGGTCTGTCACCATACTTTTTGCTTTATTCTTATAGCCTTTTGTTTTGTCATGGACAGTGAGCACAAGATTCTCAAATCATTATGATTGGTCTTATGCCATGATTAGAGAGAGATTCTCTTATTTATGTACTGCATGTTAATTGAAAGACATACAGAATCTGGTCTGTTTGTGCAAATTACACGTGAGGATCAGATTTCTTGTGGCAAATGAAAAGGAGTGCAGTCCAAGATTCGTGAGATGGTGTTAATGTTCTAAATGGCAATCGGTTTCAACTGTGCAGCAATCATTCATAGAGAAACGGTTCGAGCTTGGTGGCAAATCCTCAAGAGTAGCTGCCGGCTGCAGTAATGAAAATTCTACCCCGGAGCCAGGTAGTTCTGAGAGTACTAACCGGGAACTGGGATGGCAGTACAAATTCTCTTTCTCAGGCGACACATTCGAATACTTTGACCTTCAACACGACATCAGCAACTGCATCAAAGGCTCGAAGAACCGCTCTAGGAAGGACGATAGTAGCACGGCAAGTACAAGAAGCAATTACTTCCATGTCGATGAGTACGACTACCACGACTCGATGCAAAGCTTGTTGGCGGACAGAGTGACCCACAGAAACCGTTTGGAGTCTGGTGGTTTTCTTGTTTGTGGTGGAGGGGTCACACTAACATTCTCTCCATTTGGTTCTTTCATCTGAGTCAAAATGATTGAGGATCAGGCTAGCAGAAGTTCATCAAAGAAGAGAGTAGCAAAATCCGCCCAGTGATGATGTAATTATCTAATAGCTGTCGTGGTTTGCAATACAAGAAAGTAATTATGAGAGGCGAAAAAGGGTTTCCAATCTCCCGTAGCTCTTTTCATTTGCCCATCGTCATCGAGCAAGTCTCGTCGCTTCTCTCTTACGTCCGAGAGCCTCAAAAGCACGAGCCTGCTTTGAGAGAGACTTCGGTTTAATCGGTCACGTAGACCTATCTCGGGCTCGGATCTATCGAGGCGCGTTATTTTCTGCCAAGGACAGTAAAATGCTTAACCATGGAATGCAACTTACGCGATGAAGCACTACTTCCACAATGGAACGGGACAATCTACAAGTCAAGCAGTGATGATCAGCTGTGTTGAGAAAGAGCAGCGGAACAGAAAGTTCAACAATCAGAGTTCATTGTCGACATCCTCTGCAGTTCTTGTTTCTTTTAATAAACGAGGAAATCCTGGATCAGATCGTCTCGTGCGGGTACCCGCGAACCACGTCCATCAACATAGTAATATACAAACACCCGGGTGTCCTTTTGCAAATCGCATCAGTCTTTTCTTCTTGACGTGTGATCGATTCAATATTACAGAATGATCGTTGGTGCCGCTTTCTCGACACAATCCGAGATGGATTTGTGTGGGTCCCACAATGTGGCCCTTGGGGGATGCGCAGCCGTCAATGCAATTTTTTTAGGGATAATGACACAAATGATCTATGAAATTTAGCTCCATGTGTAATACGATTCTAGGACTATTAATTTGTTCAATGCGGTTCATGACTTGTATCTTAATATGCAATGTGGTTTGTGAATTTTAAATTTGTTCAATGTGGTTCATAAACTTTTGGTACATATTCAACTTAGTCTTTAAACTTTATAAGTTCAGAGACAACATTGAACATTTTCGTATAATTTAGGGACTAAATTGAAAATGTACGAAAAGTAACATGGGTTACATTGAACAAATTAAAAGTTCAGGGATCACATTGCATATTGACTCAAAGTTCATGGATCATTTATGTCATTTTCCCATTTTCTTGCCTTACCTAATTGGATCGTTAAGTGAAGCTACGCCCTGAGTCGGCGAGAGACGATTAGCTAAAACAGACACGAGGTGACGGTCGAAATGACGAGGGAGCACAAACGTAGATGATCAAGTCGTCGCGCGCCGACACCGACTGATCTCGAGATACGTACTTCTCTCGTACTTGCACCGTATTGGCAGGAGGATCTAGCCAAAATTTTCCAAGACGACGTGGCAATTTTTTGACGGTTTATTTTGAAAAGACCCTCCAAAGAAAAAACAAGAAGCCCATTCTCCATTGATTGGGAGCATGGCTGCTGCTGTGGCCGAGTGGAATGCTTCCCTCCTATTCACTCTGCTTTAACTTCCCCCTCCAAGAAGGAGATCTCATAAATCCTAATTTAACCTCAAACCCTGGTTAGCCTTAACCTAAGGGTTAATGCATTCTGGAGTTAGGCTCTGTGTTAATCTTCTGTTTCACATTTGCCTCTTCTTCTTCTTTTTTTCACTCATTATTGTTTTCTTTTTCCATTTTGTTTCTAGAGCTCGCCCCTCTGTCTTCCTCCCCTTGAGTTCCTCCTCGTCTGGTGCGCCTCCCCGATTTGGTAAACAGCTTTAGATTGACTGCATACAAGTCAGACAATCAATCTGGATCGGCGCAAAGTTAAGAGACCCCGTCCATCTCTTTCATACATATATATTTCCTGTCTCTGTCTCTCTCTCTGTGTGTAAAGTTCGAGACAGAGCAAAGAACAGGAGAGCCAAAATGAAAAGGTCTCCTGCTACTTCGTCTTCTTCACCGTCTTCTTCTTTTTCGATTTCTTCTTCTGGGTCTGATCCTAATCCTCGATTGGAGCAAAAACCGAAGAGGGAACGCGCCCGAAGAGCTCGAAGCGGTGGCGAAACTCCGAATGGCGATAAGCACGGCTCGTGCGGGAGGAGCTCCACTTACAGAGGAGTCACCAAGTCTGTCTCTCTCGCTCTCTCTTTCTTTCTCTCTCTTCCTGTCGTTGAGATTTCTCATTTTGTCCTGCTTCTGCACATGGGGATACGAGATTCATTTGGTGGGTGGGTGGAACAGGCACAGATGGACGCAGAGATTCGAAGCCCACCTGTGGGACAAGACTTCTTGGAACAGCTCCGGGAGCAGAAGAGGACGACAAGGTGTGTGTATTACACGACTCTCTCTCTCTCTCTCTCTCTGTCAAAAGCTCTGTTTTCTTGAAAAACAAAAGGGCGTGATTCCGTTTCATCAGCAAGTATTCTGGGACAAAACTGTCGTGTTGATCTGCTCTGTTTCTTTCTGGGGGTGTTGCTGACTGCGTGACGAACGATGACGATGAACTTTGTCCCCAATCATTCTCAACCTTCTCCAACTCTTTTGTCGCGGCGCAGTTTACTTGGGTAATAAGTCGTACATCTCGTCCCCCTTCCTTTTTCCTTCTTGTTCTTCTTCTTCTTTCTTTTCAAAATATATTTTTAGTTCATTAAAATAATAAATAATCAAGAAACGAAACGAAAATATTATATTCATATATATATTTTTTTGGGGGGCAAAATAATTACAGGGGCATACGATAGCGAGGAGGCTGCTGCTCGTACCTACGATCTTGCTGCCCTAAAGTATTACGGGCCACACGCTGCACTCCTCAATTTTCCGGTAAAATTGGCTTCCCTCATTTTTCATCATCATTATTTTTCATCAATTCTCCGTGCCGATCGATCCCGTCCCGCTCTTGTCAAGATCGGCGTGTACGAAGAGCAGCTCAAGGAAATGCGGGGCATCTCCAGGGACGAGTACCTGGCGTCGCTGCGGCGGCGCAGCAACGCGTTCTCCAGAGGAGTCTCGAAGTATCGTGGCGTGGCCAGGTAAAAAAAACCAAGGCCCCCTTTCTCTCTGCGCCTCTAGCTTGATCGTGTGCATTGGACGATGTGGCGAGATTGGTTTCGTGCTAATTAAGGAAATCGATCGGGATGGGGAGCAAGTAATATCGTCCTAATTCTTTTGAAAGATTAGAAATTCTTACCCAATTTGTGCAAACTGTCGTTGTTAATATAAACCGAATAAAACCACCCGCCTGGGTGGCGCTGCTGGAAAGGGCACTTTTCCTCTCGCAAAAGATTGAGTGTTCGAATCCCGGGCGCCGCAGGGTGACTTAACCGGTGCACGTGTGTGGTGGCTAGCACGTGTCGCTCCCAGGGTTTACGTCCCGGCTGTCGGCCGTGCGGGGGTTCCTGGGTTACCAAAAAAAAAAAAATAAACCGATTAAAAAAATATTAATTTTGGGTTGGTATTGGTTGAATTATTTACTTGTTTATTTATTTTTGTTCAGAATTTATTTGTTTATTTGAAAAATAGGCATCACCATAATGGACGATGGGAGGCTCGTATTGGACGAGTACATGGCAAGAAGTACCTCTACTTGGGCACTTACGGTCCGTCTCTCTCTCTCTCTCTCTCTCTCACTCTCTCTACATACATGCATGCATGCATGTTGTACGTGCATAAATATTTGTACACTATACATTTTGTTTAATTACGAGGAAAATAAGCACTTTGGCGCCATCGGAGAGCCGTCGTGAAAAAACTTGGACGATCCTCGAGCGGGATAAGGCCGCTCTCAGCCGGCGGATTCTCGCGAGCTTCGCGTTGAGTTACGGAGTCTCGGACCGAGCAGATGAAGAGCCGAAGAAAGTTCGAGCGATGCACTGTTTCGACTCGGCCGTCGACGGCGGCGACGCGATCAATTCCCGATTATGGTGTAATTAGGAGTCCTGATGAGGCCGATGATCTCTGTGGGCCGTGGATTTTTTCGATTTAGCATTTGTTAAATTAATTGCTTTCGTTAAAATTAAGCTGATGACCGCGCGACGGCGGTGGCATCGACGTGGTTGCGGATGCTACCGTGTCGGATATTTAACGGATATATGGACGGAAGTCTACATTGTGTTAAGGTTAAATTTATCGGGAATTTCGCGAATTCTATTTTTATAAATATAACGCGAGCTTGAGATTTATTTGGGTATTTTTGTGTATTTCAGATTTATATGTATGTGAAGTGAGATTTCTTGAATGAAAAACTTGGGAGTTATAGCATCAGTTAAATAAAATGTCATGCGAAATTATAATTCTTTGGTTTAAATAGCAAATCAATTTTCCTCTACCCGCAGGCACCCAAGAGGAGGCTGCCGAAGCCTACGACATGGCGGCGATCCAGTACAGAGGGGCCAACGCCGTCACCAACTTCGGCGTCGGCATCTACGTTGACCGCCTGAGGAAGAAAGGCATCCACATCGATCGCTTCGGCTCCGACCAACCGCCACGGCCGCTTCCGGATCCCAAATCCGAGGACAACGATGAGGAGCAGGACGCCCGGAATGGATCACGTTCACCTGCCGCCGAACTGCAACAACAGCCCCAACCACCTCGAACCGAAGCTTCTGCCGCCGCCGCCGGAGATGGCGAGCTTCCGTGGAGCTTCTGCGCCGACACGGGCTTCGTGCAGCTGCCGATTCCCTACCTGCCGGATTTATTTGACGAGATCAACGGATTCGAAGACGACATCGACTTGGTGTTCGATCCGGAGTCCGGGGAAGAGATCTTTCGCGGAGGTGCGACGATGGAGACTAGTGATTTGAGCTCCGGAGCTGATGACGTGGACGTACCCGGGAGATCTGACGGCAGTGCTGGCGTGCCCGAGAAGTTGCTGTCCTCATCGTCGTCGTCGTCATCCACGACGACAGCACATTCGCCGTCGGCATCAACCGCGACGGCCGTTTCTTGTTTCTTTTGTGCTTGAGGTTTTGCAGGCGAATTAGACGTAGATAGATTTTGCATGTGCTTTTGTGATACCGCAACTTGTTTCTTTTTGACATTTTTTTTGCGTTTACTTTTACTATTATTATTCTCCTCACCTTAGAAATTATTTAGTTGATTTAATATTTACATAAAAAGAAACTGATATTGTTAAAATACTGTGATAAAATAACCGTTGCATTTATCACTCGAGTTTAATCACCCCACAAACGACACAAGAAAATCCATGCATAACATGGGCTCGATAACTATAATTTTATGTAGAGGTGATCGGTTTCCAGTTTCGTCCGATCCGATGGAATCGATGAATATAACGTTTTCATTCCAAACAAAAGCACAATACGAAGCAGAAGAAATCTAAATCTAGATTGGAGAAGCTATACAAGCTTAACGCCATGGACGACATGGTGGGATGAGAGAGGAGTCTAAAGAATAGAGATTACTCATATTAGGGTTAACTTAGTTGTAACCGGTTCGGTCCCACCTTGGAATCGGGAACCGGACCGGTGGCCTCTGGAACCGCCTTGAGCTGGGCCACCAGTCGATCCGGTATAGTTCGGGCGATTCTCGATTTAGGCGGTTCCCATTATACACCCCTAATTTTATGGATGGTGTGACGAACGAAGTAATTATAGACAAGAAATAAATCGTGAAAGTTTGTACTTTTTGCGAGGTAGTGTCGAGCCTCACGATTTTTCGTTTTGGTTAATTTGAAGTGACTTTACTTTTAAGTCTTCCACCGTCTTTCGTGGTCTTCATGTTAACAACAAGCATATTTTATCTAGGATAATTTCACTTTCATATCATGAACTATTCACGGCACGAGATTGATCGGTGCATATAACACAAGATGAGTCAGTGTCAGAAAAACTATACAGTTAATTATTACCGAATAAGCGATTGTAGATATTATTTTTTATTTTTTTATTTTTTGTGTGGGTGTAGTAGATATTGTGTGTTGTTAAAAAAAGTAATATGTGAGGGACTCGTGCTCCTTCGACTTCGAGATAGTTGTGAACAAGTTTTCATTTCATTTCGCAGCTCACGTATTAAAATCATTTAAAATGTATAAAATTCGACACGTAAATTCTCATTAATCTTCATAATATTCGAATTTCCTCTTGTTCAACATCCAAAATTCCGAATACAAAACAGTATAAAGTTGCTTCAAAAAGCAACGGCAGATTATTCTTACATTGTTTTTTCTTTTTTTTGGGCCAAACCAACAGATTATTCTCAGTAGAAACTATCGTTTAAGAACTTGTAATTTGCTTCTCCTTCTTTTTTAAAGGGAAAACGGTACAAACAGTTCTGAAACTTTGATCCGATGTGTAATGTGGTTCATGAACTTTTAATTCGTTCAATATAACCCCTGAACTTTAACCCAACGTGCAATGTGATCCATGAACTTTTGATTTACTCAATGTCGTCCATGAACTTTTGGTACAAGTTCAATGTAATCCCTGAACTATATGAAAATATTTATTGTAGTCTTTCCATTAATTCAAATTCAGGGACTATATTGAACATTTTCATATAGTTCAGGGACTACATTGAACGTGTATATTCGACTAAAAAACAAAAAAAACGTGTATAAAAAAAGTCCATGAATCACATTGAACAAATTAAAAGTTCAGGGACCACATTGAATATTAGGCTAAAGTTCAGGAACCAAATTACACATTGGGTCAAAGTTCAGGGATTGTTTGTGTCATTATCCCTTAAATTGTTTTTGTTGCAAATGGGAGCATTTTTTTTTCTCCTAATTCTGTTTCAAATTTGTTCGACCGAAAAGAAAAATCTATTTCTAATTTTCAAATGATATTGTATGGCAGTCGATCATGTAATTGTTATATTAGCCGAGCATAATCCTTTTCCTTATCCTTTACATTTTTCAAAGATAAAAAACCGCCTAGGATCGCGTGGAATCATCATGAAACGTGCCAAAAAAATCTTGAAAATACACAATTCTTATACTATCGAAATTATAATCAACGACGGAGAAAGACTTAAAAAAGAAATTTCGAAAAAAGTAGAGGAGAACGGGTAAAATTTCAATCCCGAGCAATATTTTACATAGGGTTAATACCACGAAAAATCCCAAACTAGTACACCCGTGACAAATTTATCATTTGTTAGTTTCCGATAAATTTTATTGTCAAACTGCTTCGTTCAATAACACGGATTTATCAGTTTTGGGTTTTACCCTCTGTTTGTCATAGGTGTACACGGTTTATGATTTTTTGTGGCATTAATCCAATTTAACAGAAACTAACGGAGAGCAAATTTGTCGCACGTGTATTAGTTTAGATTTTTTGTGGTATTAACACTTTTTACAATAGAAAATAATCTACTCGATAAAGAAAAAGAGGAGAAGGGATAATAAATTGAAATTAAAGAAAAATTGATTATCCTTGTAATTTTACATCAAGAAAAACTCGAAAACCTTATCCAACAATTACACGGTTGAATTTTTAAATTTTTTAAAAAAATTTCTCTCTCCCTCTCTTCATCTTTTATATATGAGCACGACTATGAGACCTCGACCTTCCTCCGAGCGTACACACACACGCACGACGGCAAAGCATGCGGTTCCTCTGCGGTACACCCGTCAAACGGGTGGGTCGGGTCGAATATGGGTTGACCCATATTCGATCCATTTAACCCGTTTTGACCCATTTTCATGCAATGCAAATATAGTGACCCATACCCGACCTGTACCCGATCCGACCCATATTACTAGAACACATTAATATTTTAGGAAAACTCATACCCATCCATTTAATTCACTTTAACCTCTTCACATGTATATGTTATTAGAATAAAAACTCCACATCAAATTAAACAAACAAATTAAATAATAAAAACTCCATCCTTAAGATGGACAACGGATTGTGAATCAGGAAATGAAGTAGTTGATGTCAATATGGTAAGTCCAAAGAAAAATCTATCAAAAGAGAATGGGAGCACTTTAACATCCATTACAAAGCACTCCTGCCAGAACCAAGGTTTCTTGAATGAAACTTGTGCCTCTCATCATGTGAACATGACCGATAACCAGCTTCCTGCACATGGGGGAACTAGAGAAATGGAAGACTCCCATGAGTCTGTTGTGCGGCACAAACATATAGGCATAGAAGATGATCAAATCAGTGATCTTGGGGAAGCATCTACATATTTAGCATCTGGTTGAGCTCGGAGCTACGTGGTATCAGCTTGTTTCCCTTGCTTTTTGACCTGATCATCAATGCATACTACATTCACATCCACCCAGGTTTTGAACACAACCCCCTACAAACACTCCAACCAAAAACTTAGCCAAAAACACGTCTGTTAAAAGGTTGGCACTGCCAATTCTACTCTAATCATAGTCCTGATCGCTGCTTTTCTTCCAAAAGTGTGACCTCTGTAGTTTCTGAGCAATTTTAAAATGTGCAATTGTAGTTCGAAATCCACACATTATGTGTAAGAGAATGGGTCAGAAACGAAGGACCTCTCTATTGCTATGTGACATACAAACATAAAGAATGAAGAGATTTGGAAGAAGAGCATGCATCGGAGAGTTCGTTCAGCTTCCTTTTGTGACAAAATGCGCACTACTTCCACAGATCAATTTGCAACTATACGTACACAACCGAGCAGCCTCGCACAGCCAGTAAGCACGTAAGAAAAATTGCTTCAAATTGAAAATCCAAGCCAGTACAACAATTCTGAGTATCCCTTGTGTTGTAATGCACTGGATAGGATGAAACATAGTATGTAGACAAGAAGATACACCAAATAAGCATAGCATCTAATCACACATGAAGTCTTAGGCAGATGGGTAAATCAATTGAGCTTCTCCTGAATCTGGCTTAAGTCGCGCAACATGTGTATAGCTCATACCATGTCAACGAAAAACCCACAAGATGCAGTAATCAAGATGCAGCCATGAACCACCGTCTATTCTATCACAATCAACCCTCTCAAGCAGACACAAACACAAAAACCCCCCAGAAAAACCATGAAAATCCGAACGAATACATTACCTTCGTGAGCATGCCGAAACCCTAGCGCTTGAAGTAAGTTCTTCCTCCCTACGGTGAAGAGGAGGGAAACAGAGATGAAGCGAAGTGCGACGAGCGGTGAAGGGCGGCGAGCAACGAGCGGCGAAGCACGGCGAGCGACGAGCGGCCAAGGCGACGAACGACGAGCGGCAAAGCGCGGCGAGTGGCGGCGAAGCGCGGCGAGCGGCCAAGGCAACGAGCGACGAGTGGCGAAGGAAGCGCGGCGAGTGGCTAACAAGAAGCGTAGGTTGGGAGCGAAGTGTCGTTCGTGGATGGCTGCCTGAGCAAGTAACGTGGGTCGTGGGTTTAGAAAATATGGGTTAAAATATGAGTCAGCTGGTGACCCATATTTTAACCCATTTTTTGGGCATTATATATTCTCTAACCCATTTGAGCTCATTTTTTAGAAAAGTGAGTTACCCAAATAGATATGGGCTTCCTAAAACTGAGTTATAAAATGGGTACATGACCCATTTTGCCGGCCCTACTCTGCGGCACCCGCGGGGCTTCCGGGAAAGGGAGATTGAGGATGGTCGCCGGGTCGTGTTACGTGCCGAAGAAGCGGGCCGGGTGCCCCGAGGGCGACGACGCGCACTTCGTGTGCCCCGAGAAGGGCATCATCGGCGTGTCCGACGGGGTCGGGGGCTGGGTTCGGCACGGCGTCGACCCCGAGGAGTACGCCCGGGGCCTCATGACGAGCTGCGCCGACGAGGTCGGGAGGCAGGAGGCCAGCCGCGTGGACCTCGAGGCAGTCCTCGGAGCGGCGTTCGGCAGGACCTCCGTCGGGAGTGTTGGAGATATCAAATAAATTTCAAATCTTCCAAATCTCCTAAACCATTGCAATATCAACTGTATATTAGCTGGTTCTCCTTATCTGTAGAATATTTGTTTCTCCTTGATTGTAGACTTACCAAATGTGAGCACTAGGGCATTCTATATAGATACATGTAAAAGTTCAGCAACATAGTAAGAACAATTTCATCTTCTTCAATAGTTATTTCATGGTATTAGAGCCCTTGGGCTTCTAAGAGCAGATTTTCGATCCAATTCTGCATTTCCAGTTGTGCAATTCTGCATTTTTCCGGAATGGATTCAACCCCTAACTCGAGCAATATCAGTCTCCAAACTGGATCCAACAATGATGGAGCAGCTCCATCCAGCGGCCTCATCGCCATCTCTACCGCTGTGCAATTCCCACTGAAGCTAACAGCCGCCAACTATCCCTCGTGGCGTGCTCAATTCCAGGCAATTCTTATTGGTCATGATCTGCAAGGCTTTGTTGACGGATCGAAGCAATGTCCGTCCTTAACCATTACTACCGGAAATCAGAAAGTTAGCAACCTCGACGCTGCATTATGGATACGCCAGGATCAGCTCCTTCTCGCTGCAATTTTTTTAGCGGTCTCCGAATCAGTTATACCACTCATCGCATCTTGTAAAACGTCCTACGAAGCTTGGACAAAACTCACAAATTTATATGCAAATAAATCCTGTTCAAGAATTATGCATCTCAAGGATCAACTCTCAACCGTCCGTCGCTACTCACGTTCAGTGTCGGATTATCTTCAGCACCTTAAATCAATTGCAGACAAGCTGGCCATAATTGATACCCCTCTAAACGACGATGATTTGGTCATTCACGTGCTCCGTGGCCTTGGATCCGAATTCAAGGAAATCGCTGCAGCAATTAGGGCTCGAGAAACCCCTATTTCATTCGAAGAAATGCACGACAAGTTAGTTGGATACGAGACATATCTCAAACAAGAAGAGCTAAGCCATGATTCCATACCAATTACTGCCCAATTTAGCTCACGTAATCGAGGCTCAGGGAGTCATTCACGCTGGAATAGCCGCAATTCGCGCAGGGACACCAATTATCAGCAAGGGAATTTTCAGTCCAGTAACTCTCGCTTCAACCAGAGCCGAAACTACTCAAGCAGACGCAACAACGATCGTGAGAGGCATGGCAATGCCAGCCGCCAAATCTGCCAGCTTTGTGACCAATACGGCCACTCAGCCAAAGCTTGCTCTCGGTTCCACAACTCCATACGTGATCCGAGTGCCAACGTCGCCGCTGCTTCAACCTGAGAATCTGGATGGTTAGTGGACTGAGGAGCGTCCCATCATATAACCAATGACTTGAACAATCTCTCGCTTCATTCCGAATACGAAGGGCCCGACGAGATCGTCGTTGGTGACGGCACAGGTTTGCGTATAACTCACGTTGGTTCTATGACTCTAACTCATCCTGAAAACACATTTACTTTATCAAACGTCCTGTGTGCCCCAACTATCACCAAAAACCTAATTTCCGTATCGCAATTCTGTCGTACTAACCGTTCGTCCATTGAATTTTTTTCCAATCATTTCCTGGTGAAGGATCTTCGCACGGGGGCAACGTTGCTTCGAGGAAAACTTAGCGATGGAGTCTATCAAATGCCGTCCACAAAGATGCAACCGCAACCCTCTCCTACGGCTTTTGTTGGACAGCGGACGCGGGCTATGAATTGGCATAATCGGCTCGGACATCCATCTTCACGTATTTTGCGTCAAATCCTTAAAATCTTTTCGCTTTCTAAGTCAAATCTAGGTTCTGGTTTATCTTGTGATGCATGTCGGTGCAATAAGAGTCAGAAACTTCCGTTTGGTGTCTCCACTCTTGTGAGTCAATTTCCTTTCGACATTGTCTATTCGGATGTCTGGGTCCTGCGTCAACCGTGTCCACTGATGGTTTTCGATATTATGTTGTCTTCGTAGACCACTACACAAAATACATACGGTTTTACCCAATGCGCAAAAAATCCGAAGTAACTCCAATTTTTGAACAATTCAAACCTCTTGTGGAAAAACAATTCTCTCGCTCCATTGGAACTTTTTATTCGGATGGTGGAGGAGAATATCACAACCTAAAATCATTCCTTGTGAAACACGGTATCTCCCACCTCACAACACCTCGATATACACCCCAACACAACGGTACTGTTGAACGCTGTCATCGACATATCGTCAAAACGGGCCTTGCTCTCCTACACACGGTCCAACTCCCGCCAACTTTTTGGAGTCATGCCTTCCAAACCGCCACATATTTAATTAATCGAATGCCCACACCCATTTTAGCCCAAAAATCACCATATCAAACCCTTTTCGGCCGTGACCCAAATTACCACAAACTACGTACTTTCGGATGTCTATGTTATCCTTGGTTAAAACCATATACCACAAAAAAACTTGCGTCTCGCTCCACACCATGTCTTTTCCTTGGTTATGCCCTCTCCCAAAGTGCATACAAATGTTTCAATCCAGCAACACATCGACTATATTTATCTCGTCACGTTGTCTTTGACGAAAATGTTTTCCCCTACAAAAAATTATCACAAAACCAATCAACAAATCAGTCCTCTCCATGTCTCCCACCTACCACAACCATTACTCTACCACTCACTCCTCTTGAGTCTGTGCCATCCGCGCCCGCTCCATCGCTATGCCATCCGACAAGCACCGATGCTCCCTGCAACGAATTCAGTGATCAACCCGCAAATGAACCACACAACCCACAACATCAAACACAAGTCCCACAAACAGAACAACCACTACTGCCAAACCAGCAACTGGCCTCCACCCAAAATAACCACATGCACACCCGGACCCACCCTATGACTACACGATCTCAAAACAATATCTTCAAACCCAAACAAGCCCACCCAACATCAACCAAACATCCCCTACCACTACCAACAGAACCAACGGGGATAACACAAGCCATGTGCGATCCTCAATGGTGTGACGCAATGACAGAGGAAATTAACGCCCTTATTCGCAATGGAACATGGGAACTAATACCTTCTTAGCCTTCGATGAATGTTGTTGGTTGGTAAAAGAACTTAGAATTTACGGATGGAGATTTGCATCAGAAGATTTCACGTACTCTGTTCACTGCATACTGAGACCATCGACCGGCTTTAACGTTAGGCATGTCGAATAAGGCGGTCCGGGTTCCACATGCGAAAACCCACCGGGAACCGAATGGAGTGACGAAACCCGAATCATAACATGATATGATCCGCAGGAGCCTTATGTTTATGGCCAATCTTCACGTGTTTTTATCGACTGATTGCGTGTTCGGCGTCGTAATTTTTCTTTGGCTTGTGCGCCAAGTAATCTTTTCGATCCCGACTCGATAACGGTTTTGTGCGAATGTCCCAGAGCTACAAAGTCGCAGTACGCGAGGGGGACATCATCATCGCCGGGACGGACGGGTTGTTTGACAACATGTTCATGGAGCAGATCAAGGACGTGGCCGAGGCCGGGATGAGAGAAGGCAAGGACCTCGGGGCCGTCGCGGCTTCGATAGCCGCCCGAGCGTGTGCCAATTCCCTCGACAAGGCCACGAGGACGCCCTTCTGTGAAGGCTCGGAGAAGCACGGCAAGGAGCACCGTCGTCGCTCGCATCGTGAGGGACCGGAGAGCACTGCTCAAGTCGTGCTTCGAATAGAGGAAGCTTTCGATTTTCGATATTGTTGCTTTTATTGTGATACGGATTATAAATACTTTCGGAACTTAAAATATTCTTCGCGAACTATTTTTTTTTTTTGGGATTAATATCATGAAAAATCTCAAACTAGTATGCCCGTAATAAATTTACCCTAAATTAATTTCTTGATCACTAAAAATCCTAAATCGGTATACATGTGGCAACATATCCCGAACTAATTTTTTGACCACCAAAAACCCTAAACTGGTACACCTCTGACAAATTTATTCTCCGTTAGTTTTCTGTTAAATTGGATTTATGCCACAAAAATTCACAAATTGGTACACATGTGATACACCCGTCAACTGTCACGTATCGTCAAACTCAGCAATTTGATGATAAAATTTAACGGAAACTGACGGAGGGAAAATTTGTCACTGATGTACTGATTTAGGATATTTGGTGGTCGAAAAATTAGTTTCGGATATATTTGTCACAGATAAACTAGTATGGAATTTTTGGTGGTTTTAACTTCTGTTTTTTTTTTCAGTCAGCTATCTCAAATGCATTTATCAACGAGATCCAATTTGGTGGTGAAAAATGGACGCAACTGTGAATACTAGGGAATAGGGGGGGCGCCGTCCGTAATTAATACAAAATGGCGGGGCGAAAATGCAAACATCGACAATTTTACAAAAACGGCAAAACGAAACGTCCACCCGAGTGCCGCGTTTCTTCTTTCTTCTTCTTTCTTCATTCTTCGTTCGGTTGCGGTGTCGCTCTCACGCCCCGAGTCCGAAAATCTCCGGCGCTGCCTCGCCGAAATCGGAGCGGAAGCGAGCCGTGAAAGTTCGCCGGAGCGTACGAGCGCGGCCGCCGCCGTTCGAATCCGCCGCGCGACGCTCGATTGATCGCCGGAGCGCTGGGCTCGGTGGCCACGTAAGTTCTCTCGTCTCGTCGTTTGCGATTCGATTTCCGGGCCCCCCTGTTTTCCGCCGGGGACGACGGGACGCATTGTTCGATTTCGGAAAAGAATGCGTGTTCGGCCGTGCTGTTGGCGTGGCATTCGCGCCGCGGAAGTCCCTCTGCGCGGTCGAGATCGATGCTCTCTCGAGCTGTTGTGGTTCCGGGACTTCGGAGTGTAGGAATTAGAGCGTCGGAAGTTGTTTGGAAGTAGCTACAGTCGTTAACACTGTCGGATCATTTCGTCTTTTCTTGATATTTGGGGCTGGTGATTGAAAGTCTCTGTCTTTCGGTCAATATTGGTGAATTCGTTCACCTGGTTGTGCTTCTTTTGGCTTTGCAGGATGTAGTTCCATATCATGGGAGATGCTTGGTACGGCTCTTTTCCGCATCTTTGGTGATATGAGTAGGCGCGGAGAATCCCTATTGTAGCGTTCTCGGCCGCTGCTTTCTGCTTTGGGTTATGAGTTGAGTAAAATGGAGGTTGAATCGGTTGGTAAAAATGGGGGCCCCGGGGGACACCGCATCGCTCGAGATGTCGCGCATGATCGGGGTGACCATCAAGAGAGTGCCAGTGACACTTCTTCAGACCGGGAGACGACTGCTTCCGGCAATGACGTTAGGGCGAAACCATGTGTCGGAATGCAGTTCGAATCGGAAGAAGCTGCGAAAACCTTCTATGACGCGTATGCTAGGCATGTCGGTTTCAGCACCCAGGTCGGTCAATTTAGCCGTAGTAGGCCTGATGGGCCGATTGTAAGTTGGGATTTTGCGTGTTCCAGAGAGGTTTTGAAAAGGAAAAACATAGAAAGCTGCAATGCAGTGCTCAGAATCGAGAGGAAAGACTCGGACAATTGGGTCGTGTCGAAGTTTGTGGAAGAGCATAACCATTCAACAGCAACTCCTAGTAAAGTGCGTCATCTCCGACCGCGTAGGCATTTTGCTGGTGCTACAAGGAATGTGAGTGAACCTCAGGATGCTATAAGTGAAGCTCATGCTTCTTTGGATGGGAACCATGTCTCTTATGAGCCTAATAGAGGAGGGAGGAATATCTCCCCTGTTGAATCAAATCACCCAGCAAGAAACGTTGGTTCTGTTAACTACATGAGACCCAGTACTCGGAAGAGAAATCTGGGACGAGATGCCCAAAACCTTCTCGACTATTTTAAGAAGATGCAAGCGGAAAACCCTGGTTTTTATTATGCAATCCAGCTTGATGATGATAACCGCATGACTAATGTCTTTTGGGCTGATGCAAGATCAAGGACAGCATATACCTACTTTGGAGATGCTGTAGTTTTTGACACAATGTACAGACCAAATCAGTACCAAGTTCCCTTCGCTCCTTTCACCGGTGTAAATAATCATGGTCAGATGATATTGTTTGGTTGTGCATTACTTCTGGATGAGTCCGAATCATCCTTTGCTTGGCTCTTTAGGACGTGGCTGTCTGCAATGAATGATAGACCCCCTGTTTCCATAACTACTGACCAGGATAGAGCCATACAAGCTGCTGTGGCTCAAGTATTTCCACAAACTCGTCACTGTATCTGCAAGTGGCACATCCTAAGGGAGGGCCAGGAAAGATTAGCTCACATCTACCTTGCTCAGCCTTCTTTTTACGGGGATCTGTACAGTTGCATTAACTTCTCTGAAACTATTGAGGATTTTGAAGCATCATGGGTTGCTCTTCTTGACAGGTATGATCTCCAAAAAAATGAGTGGCTTCGAGCAGTATATAACGCTAGGAAGCAGTGGGCTCCGGTTTATTTTCGTGACACTTTCTTCGCTGTGATCTCATCAAACCAAGGGGTGAGCTCATTCTTTGATGGATATGTGAATCAACAAACAACAGTCCCTTTGTTTTTTAAGCAGTATGAAAGGGCTCTGGAAAGTTCATTAGAGAAGGAAATAGAAGCAGATTATGATACCGTGGGCACCACGCCAGTCCTGAAAACTCCATCACCTATGGAACAACAGGCAGCAAACCTTTATTCAAAGAAAATTTTTGCCAAGTTCCAGGAGGAACTAGTTGAAACTTTCGTGTATACTGCAAATAAGATTGAGGATGATGGAGTAATGAGTAAATACAGGGTCGCTAAATATGAACATGACGACAAAGCATTCATAGTTACTCTGAACGTAACTGAGATGAAAGCAAGCTGCAGCTGTCAAATGTTTGAGTACTCAGGAATACTCTGTAGACATATATTGACTGTCTACACTGTGACAAATGTACTCACCCTTCCTTCTCACTACATATTAAAGCGATGGACCAGGAATGCGAAATCTCTGTTGGGATCTGAAGAACTAAATTCTGATCCACATGGTATTGAAACTCTTACATCTCGCTTCAACAGTCTATGTCGGGAAGCTATCCAGTATGCCGAGGAAGGAGCAATTGCTGTGGAAACATATAACACTGCAATGAGTGCTCTAAAAGAGGGTGTTAGAAAGATAGCTTCCGTGAAGAAAGGCATTGCTAAAGTGGCTCTGCCAAGTTCAAAGAGCAGTGGAAGTAATGAGGACATTAGCAAGAAAACCTCATCATCTGTCCCCGAGATGTTCCCAGCATTGTGGCCTTGGCAAGATGCCTGTCCTCCTCGTTTTAACCTTAATGACAATGGAGTTCCTGTGGCTGAATTAACTCAGCCCAGCCTCGCCCCGGTGTCAATTCAACGCGACAGTAGCACACCTGATGATACAGTAGGAAGCATTTTTCTTCTCTTACTTCTAAATCTTTCCTGCATCATTTTTCGTCTTGTGAATTTGTTAAATAGTAGTTCGACATTTTGTGTCAATTTCTGATTGTCTTGTCTTAATGTAGGTTGTTCTTACTTGTTTTAAGTCCATGACTTGGGTAATTGAGAGTAGTACTGCAACTTCTGCTGTTAAAGTCGCTGTAGTTAATTTGAAGGTATGAGTTTCTGTGCCTTTCCATATGGTTATGCTTCTTGTACATCGGGCCTTTTTCTCCTGATTGTAAACTAGTGTTAACCACTTGTATATCATCGATAATTTCTATTTCAGAATTGAGACATTTACATTACGTCCTTGTTAGATATTTGAAAAGACACCGCATTGTTCATTGTCATCTGGAAGGTAGTTTTTGGTGCTTATCTGAGTATAAGCACGTGTTCTTTCTGTGGCTCCATTGGTTTAGTATGTATGTGTGGCTAAATGGAGTTATATGATTGTGCTGATATGAATATACCTGCACGTTTGAGGTTAGTATCTTTCTCTCTCTGTGGATATTGCTCACAAGCTTATTTCATTTTCATTCACCTTGTAGCTGCAAGACTATGGAAAGATTCCTTATGGAGAGACAGAGGTGCAGTTCAGGTTAACAAGAGTCACGCTAGAGCCCATGTTGAGGTCCATGGCCTACATCAGCCAACAGCTCTCATCCCCAGCCAATAAGGTTGCTGTCATCAATTTGAAGGTATTGCAAAGGTTTGACACCTTTTCTCCTGATGGCTTCGGTGTTTCAGCATTTAACCTTTCTCAGTGGGTAGAATCTTTAAGGTCATAAATATTTATGTGGTTTAGTGATATGTAGATATTTTACAGTGATATCCGTGATATGTAGCAGCTATTGTTTTGTACACTATCAATTTCTAGTTTTTCGTGTTAGGATTTGGAATTTCTTACTGTCCAACAATGATGTCAGGGTTTTATTTCCCTTAAATAGTTCCATGCCCCCAAATGTTTCAGGTGTAAGAGGAAGTATTATTATGACGTTTTATAATTAGGTTTTCGATGTAGGAGAAGGTGCATAAGAGACATGGGGGGTGAGCTAAATTTTGAATTTCCCCTAGCAATCAAAAGCCCATAGAAGTTGCTTTTTGTTGGAAACTCTGTCCATGATTGTTCTGGCAACCTTCAGGCAATTGGACTTGTCCTGGATATGATGTATGTGCCTTTAGGATCTCAAACATGAGAAAAGTCACTGTGACACCTTTCATGGGGATTAACCTTTTTTGTTCCTCACATGCTTGAGAAGAAGCATCTCTTCTTTATGTTTGAGAGTTGTGTTCTTCAGTTCACTTAGGTATCTGAGGGTGAGCCTTAAAACCGTGGGAATTGTACACAATAATGTGCTCTCGTGTGTGGTTGACTTGATTCATTTAATCCTCGCTTACAACATTATATTGCTATCCTTTTTTCAGCTTCAAGATACGAAGACATCCACTGGAGAAACAGAGGTGAAATTTCAGGTTTCAAGAGACACTCTAGGCTCAATGCTCAGATCCATGGCTTACATCCGTGAACGGTTCTAAAAGATGTAAGTAGAGTTTCTCAACTGTTTTCCTTGTAATCAAGCAATACTGCGTTAGGTCACTTGAGGAGGAGTATGTAGATCATATGCATTTTGTTCTGTGTGGTGTTTCAAATGTTTTGGTAAATTGTAGAATTATATTGATGCATGAATGACTGCTCATACAAGCTTTGCTGGTTTTTGCCTTTATATACGTTGATTTTTTTATCCATAGCTAGAGAGGGATATCAATTCCTATCAATTATTGACAGGTATATTTTTTTCTCTTATATAGCCCACCTTACCATTTGCCAGTCGAGCTTTACCATTTGCTACAATTTACTCGGAGAGTTGGAATCTGCGGAGTTGCTTCAAGGATGGAGGCATTGCAGAGGTCCGTAGTCAGAAGTATACTGTATAATGTAACAAGTCTGATATAGTAATAGCTAGGATTGATTGTCACTAGAGATAGCACAACATTCACCACATTGGGTGGATTTTGTTAGGTATATGTGCCCTTTATAGGTCCTAAGTGTTAGATAGTGCATTATTTATTTTAGAGCTACCAAGAGTAGTTAGCACACTGTAAATGTGAGTTGTGTGAATACTATGGTCTTAATGAATGAGGTAGAAGATTGGACGTGTATAACCTTCGCTTGCGTTCTTCTTTTGATGCAATTATGGAGGTTATTCGAGTTTAATTGCTTCTCCTTGTTACCTGAGAGTGGAAAATCCTCTATCTGAAGCGAAGCAAATACTAGAGCTTGCCCAGGAAAATACATCAGTTGAGTTACTTCAATTATTTCAATAATTGATATCAATGCTCAGATGGTCTGCCAGTCGAAGGAAACCTTGTCCTTCAATGGCAGATTTTTTTTAAAAGAAAAGATATGTATGGAAGTTTAACCAGGCTTGGTTCCTTGAAATATCATTACAATGAGAGTTGTCATTTGCCAACAGATAGGGCAATAACCATCAATCTCTCTCTCTCTCTGCTTAACGGATTCTACGTGGCTGATACAAAGAGATGAAGAAACTTCATGAAAACAAAACTTATTCATTATGACGTAACACAGAAGTAGTGGGAAACTATGACGGACGAAGAGAAGAGAGCACGACATCTTGTAGGGAGCTGTCTCTCTGCATCGCTGCCTTGAACTCTTCAAAGGTGACTTTCCCGTCGCTGTTGGCATCCATCTGGTCGAATATCTCATCTAGCTTTCCCGGTTCGGCGATGTCCGTGGGAAGGCAATCATCAGGCAAAGCCTGTGAAAAGAGTCATCATCGCAACATCACCTTTTTTTACTGGGAGAACAACAAATCAAATGAATATAGTGAAAAGTTGAAGGGTGGCATTACCCTAAGCATGGAAGCCACTTCTTCCTTGGTGATGCATCCAGATCGATCTGTATCGTACATCTGTTGTTGTTCGCACAGAACTAAAGTCAGCGTAGGACAATGAGTTTCGTTTTTCTTATAGGATCTCTGGTCTTGTGTCCAGAGTTGCAAAAGTGGATTTTTTTTTTTTGGGGGTGGTAAGAAAAGATAGCGTACTTTGGTTGGTTTGTTACAGTTATCACAGGAAAAGAATGCAGAAACAGTGCCTGTTTTCTGTCGAAAATTAAATTTTCGAACTGGAAGGTGATATGTTTCTTCGGAAACTCTAATTTGTCGCTTCCCGGCGCTGTATAACCGATAAATAATGTTCCTGGGGCTATTCAGATAATCAGGTGTACCTTAAAATCCCTCCAAGTTCTTAGTAGAGCATCTCACTTTCCGACTCTAAACTTTCTTGTAGTGTTAAACTCTTCCATGGAGACCATGAAGATTAACGTACCTCGAAGCACAGGCGTAGAGCGTCGTCCCCACGGGAGTTCCTGAGGCTGGAGAAGCCGCACAGTATCTCTCTCATATCAACGGTTCCATCACGGTTGTTGTCAAATAAGTCGAAGATGCGAGGCGCCAGGGGGACTAACGACGACATGTTCATCGCTTTCAGAACCTCCTCGAATTCGGATAGGGTGGCATTGTCTCCGTTAGCGCATCTGCAATGAGCCAAGTATGCATTCTTGTAATTAAGACATATTCGAAGTTTCCATAAAAGCAGAGAACCTAAATAAAAGCATGTGTGCAGGGGATTCATGGACTCTGGCTCACATTTTCTTGAAATTGACCCTAAGATTCTCAAGTTCCTCTTGGGAAAGGTCATGAGTCCCGAGCAGAGATTTCAGCTTCTTAGTCCTCAGGAATATGGTGCTGCTCCACACGCTCGCGATTGCCGCCGCACGTAATTTGCGCCTGGCGTTGAAGCTCTGCAGCCTCGAAACGACTTCAGGGTCCATCTGCTCCTCCTTGGCCAAATCACCTATTACCCACGGATGATTGAGAAGCTGTTTGAACAGCGAGTTTAGTGTCACAAGAAGAGCATGTACGTTACTTCAAAAGTTGTCATGGGCAAGAATAGTTGTTCATTCTCCGTTATTTCTAAAGGACTATGCAATGAATTTTGCCGTCGTCCCTCTCAGTTTAGTACAATTTAAGTCTCTAGTTATGAGAAATTTACAGATTTCTGTTGACAGCAGTTCGCTTTTATAGCTACTGAATTCCTGTCTTCATATAGGAGAAATAAACTTAGAGGCCTTACTGGAGCAGTAAATTTGAGTTATCTTACATCTAGGGCACTCGGTCTCCTGCTAGGATCCACAGTCAGAAGGCTGGAAATTAGTTCTTTTGCTGATGAGGTAATGGTCTTCCAGGTCTTTTCATCGAAGCTGAACTCTCCCTTCACAGAAGAAACATAATCTCGCCAAGTCAAACTATTCGTCCTTGGAACCAAGAAGAACAATTCCTGGTCCTAGGGCCACAAAAGAGAGATATGCTTGAACTTACTCTCATTATCATCTGTTGCTTTTGCCGATTGGACGGGGCAATGAATGGCGGATACCTGAAATTAACACAAAACAATGTCAACATCTGCGGACGGCTGCCCATTGCTGTAAGATCTGAGAAATATTTTTGACGCCTCTGCTGGAGCGAAACTGGAAGCGAAAAGCGAGTAAAAGGAACACTTTTCAGGAATCTGACAATTGTTAAGCCCTCTGGTTTCCAGGAAATTAGCAGGAATTGGGCAACAATGACATTTTCCAGAAGAATGGGAATCCTACTCGACTTGAAGAAAATTTAGTCAACAAGTGGATTCTGAGACAGACAGGAATTGCTAAGCTCACAAATGAATCCGACATTCGACTAGATCCTGGAACCGTCGGATTAAACTGTTCTAGGCTTTACAGTCACATATTATACTGTCATGACTCAAGATCTCTAAAGCAAGTGGTAACCTCGAGTATATAGTATTCTAGGTCAGCTCTCAAACCTGAAACTTTCATATCAAGAAAGTGATAAGCTTAATCAAGAAGGTGAGAATTTTCCAATCAGTGAAGGGCCTATTAAGCAAAGAAAACTGCAAAAGTATCGACTACCCTTTTAGATTATCGTCCTTCTACCCGAAGTAATCACGAATCAGGAGAGTGAAAATATTGTAACTTACCCTGAGAGCAGAATGTATAGAATGACTCCCAAAGACCACATGTCACTCTTAGTAGTTATTGTTCCCTGAGAGAGAGCCTCTGGTGACACATAATCTATTGAGCCGAACAATCCGATAACTGGGTCGGACTCCTCAACGGAGCTCAGCCCAAAATCCATGATCTTCAGTGGCGAATCCTCGCGCTTGTTCAAGAACAGGCAATTCTCCGGCTTCAAATCCCGGTGCACAATATTGGCCCTGTGGATAGCATCCAGGCCCCGGGCAATCTGCAGGACCACGGCAGCTGCTTCCACCTCCGAGTACTTCTTCCGATGCACGATCTGGTCAAACAACTCTCCGCCTGAGCAGAGCTCAAGGATCAGATGGACCCCGCTCTGGTCCTCACACACGTCGTAGAGGTCGATGACATTGTCATGAGGGGAAACATTCTCAACTATCCTTCTCATGACCAGGATCTCATTGGTCAGGAGTGCATCAGAAATGGGTACTTGCTTCCACATGGGGAATGTCAGTGAAGCAAACTGCTTCTTCGCGGGGACTGTTGGCGGTGGAGTTGACAGGCCAACCCTCCTGAGCGTCTTGATGGCGACTTCTCTTCCATCTCCACTCGATTTGCAGATGCCTTTCCTGACCACCGAGAATCCTCCTCTTCCTAGGACATCAACCACTTCATAGTCATCAGAGAGCCTTCTTGTTTCTTGGCCCATAGGCAAAGAGAGCTTTTCTACAAAAGCCGGCAAAGACTCAAAGAGAATTTGGAATCTTGGAGACTTGAGGAAAACTGGGTTTGGACTTGGAATTCAGAAAAGGTTTGAACTTTAAGGAAGGAACAGAAAGAGAGAGAGTCCAAGTTGGGTTCGATGATAAGGGATTGACATAAGCACATACCAACAGTTATTTTTGCATTAGTTTAAGATAATATAGAAATGCATGAAATTCAGATGGAAACGAGGGAACAAACTGGAGGGTACAACAGCTGAGGAAATACAGACAAAGGTGACTTAGTCAACTAAAACTAATCAATTAATCACCTCCCACATAATCCAAAAATGTATCATAATTCTATGCTTTTATCATTTCCTCCTAAATCCATGTGAAAAAATGGTCACTCTTTATGAATTCAGAAAACAAAATAAAACAAGAGCAAAGAAAGAGAAAGCTGAGCGGCTTGGTTGACTTATCTTTCATTGTTTGATGCACCAAGATTTCTAATGTCTCTCAGATTTTCATTAAACTCATATTAGACCACACTAAACAATTTTCAGCGAGTTGCCTAGAACCCACAGCATAGCTCTCGTTGTCATCGTCTGATATAAGGATAATAAAATCGCGTCATTCGGCTGTAATTAACAAAATTTCTGTCAATTAGGGCATTTCTTGATCCTTCTTATATTAATTTTTAGCTCCAGAGAATTACCTAGTGTTCATTTAACATAATTAAACAAAAGAAAGTTTCTTCCGAAGGATCAGTTTGGGGTTCTGGGCTTTTCCTCTTTTTGTCCCTTGTAGCTGTTTCTTTCCTTGTTTTGGAGCACTTCGAGCAAACTGATGAAATCTCTCAAAATAGATCACAAGCATTTCTCACTCTTTTCTGTAAAAATCTGTTAAAACATTATCAAATTCCAGTCTCTAGCTTTGCTCCGTAGACTCTTTCTCTTTCATGGTGATAGACAAAGAATAGAATGAAGTTAAATCTTCTCTGTTAGTAACGTCATGTTCTCCTCTCTCATCCAGGAAAGAAAAAAACAAAAGCTGAGTAGATCGGACTGAAAACATTCTTTTGACACCCATGTTAACTCCAGGGAGAATATTACCAAGAGATTAACACCAAAAAATGAGTTGAAAACAAAATTAAAGTGAACAAGATAATATGCATCAAAACAGAACCGAAAAACATAAAGAAAAATATGTGAACTTTTAAAGAAAATTTAAAGCAACAAACTCGGAAATGTTCCCTTTATTAGTTTTTCTTTCATTTCTTTTTGTACAGAGTCACATTTAAGTGTGTTCCTTTTGATAGTTAAGAGAAAGTGAAGTGATTAATGGAATATAATAGGAAAAGTGATATCGGTATTTCTTTTTTCTTTTTTTTCCTTTTGGTTGACGAAAGGAAATGAGTATGTGCTATGTGAACTTATTGAGAGATCAGATGGGTTCAACCTGGGGAGCGAGTCGTACACGGAGCAGGTTAATTGGTGAATTGGCGGGCCTTGGACGGCGCCAGAATTGGAGTATTTAACAACAGCAGACCCCAAATTTTTTTTTTTTTTTTGGGTCGATAGCAGACCCTAATTCACCCAACTAAATTAAGACAACCTGAAGAAGACAAGCCATACCATTGACCTTGGGAGACATGCAAACGAATTTTGCAATTCAATAATCATAAGAAAAACAGCTTTAATTGAATGTCCTAATCGCCATCGACGAGAGAATTTGACGATAATCGGACTTGCTAGCCCTCGAGAAAATAACAACATGATGAGGATTGTTAAACGAATGTTGTGTAAAGAAAACTCGAACCACACATACCTTTTGGCACTAAAAGCTTCTGGCTTCCACTTGATCTGTGTACAGACCAAGTTGTGATTTTGCTGAAATCAGGGGATATGTGAATGAATGTAATGGCACATCATTCACCAATTCACCAACCACAATCTCTGCAATGATTACGCTTGGGGTACCCTGGAGTTTTTTGAGTGCATGCAGAGAAGAGACCCACCATTCAAGCAAAAACAAGCAAACAGAGAATCTGAATTTAGTTCAACAAAAAGCAAAGGGCTAGAAGCTATTTATGTATGTATATTCCAAATCAGAATTTTTTTACAAGCCAGTATTAGTAGTTCCAACAAGAAAATAAAAATACAAAAAAGCATGAAATTTTGGGACACCAAGGAGTATGGTTTTTGTTCTTTCCCATCTTGTTACCGACTCCTCTGCTCTTCAGTTACTGTAAATGCAATTGTAAGTTGCTAACCATCCTATAGAGAATGCTGCAGGAGAGAGACCCAACTCTGAATCTCCATCTTCCCATTACAAACAACCAATTCCAGCTAAGTTCAAAACCAAAATCTTCGACCAACTTGCAGCAAAACTAAGCTAAACAACAGATTGGACTTTTCTTCTTTTCCAATGCGCCAGAAAATCATGAAGCAAAGACATAGGCAGTGGCTTCAAAGGTACCAAACATCTTGCTTTGGAAGCAAATCCATCGTATTGCAGTCAGCCATGGTCACACCAAAAGGAGAACCAAATCGAGAGTCGAGTGTACCGTCATTGAGGCAAAATTCGAATGGAGAATCAAATGCCTTGCATTGATCATGTTGACTGCCCATCGATGGAAAGATCGATTGGTTCAAGGGTAGGTTTGTGTCTTCATGCGTTTTGCCTCCCATGAAAGCTCCATGAGCGAATAAGCTATCGCCCATGCTATGCTGAACATTCAGCAACTGCTGCTCATTTTCAGGTGCACCGAGTTTCCCCGCAATATTACTGCTCTGTTGGAGGTTCGTATCATAAAACGACATGAGATTGGATATCATCTTTTGTCCGTCTTCAGGAAGTCCAAGTCCACATATATTAAAAGATGGGGTATGAGTCCCCGGAGATGGAGTGGGATTAGGTTGAGCAAAGGAATGAAGAAAGACTGCTTGCTGACCATTGCTTGCTTGGAAGTTTGAAATTCCAATGGCCTGGGAAGGAATAGGCTTACTCCGATAAGGGCAATTCAGCTGGTGATTATTTCTCGACGTCCTATCAGGAAAACCTAGGCGGTGATCACTGTAAGGGCATTGAGAAAACTCGCATGTGTATATCTTCCGATCCATCTTCGCCTTCGGCTCATCAGATGGTTGATTCCTCTTTGAAATTAACCGCAAATTGGTTTTGGTTTCATTAACTTCTCCTTTGATTTGAGAAACCAGTGGATGGATCAAAAGCTCGTCTGTAGACACCCGTGGCTCGATACCAAAAGCACTTGGATCAAAAGGCTTGCATTCGTCTGCCTCAAGCTTCGGTTCATCATCAACCCCTTCCACATCATAATCACTAGCATCGCTGATGACATAGGACCCAAACCCACTATCCGAACACACAGGTGGGCAGCTATTGGGGTACAATTTCCTGGAAAGAGCTTCTTCCTGACTGATTATCGCGAGCCACGTGGCACTCTCCTTTGCGGTCATCTTATCCTGTAGACATTTACTCTGACAGACGAGCTTCCTGATCTTGGAGATGTCTGGCGACATGTGCTTGATAACAGCCGTGAGGACGCTCACCTTCCAAGCCTTCTTAAGATCGTGAGGTTTCTTGTAGGGTGGAGGTCCCTGGTCATTGGGTAGGCCCAGCTGGGGCCACCACTCCTCGTTTCCTGTGGGCCACCATGGAGGAGCCACACCCTTCTCTAGGGGGAATCGCCGCTGCGGTGGATTGCAGTGCTGCATCAGAGCCGATAAGAGCGACCCCAGAGTGGTGTCCTGCAGTTCTTGCAAGGTGTGAGGAGTGGGCCCAACGGTGGCCACGTCCTCGCCGAACCCGGTGATCAAGTGGTCGACCCGGTACTTACCAATCGCTGCAGGTCCGTTCCGGTCGAACCTCACTTTCTCCTTCCACCATGCTCGGAGATTGTCTGAGGCACCGCTCACCGGCTTGCCCTTCTCGGGAATGATCCCGTACACGAAGCCTTGAGCTTTACAGACTTCCATCATCTTAAGCATATATTTGAGAATACCATCTTGAGCCCTCGACATCTTCTTCCTCCGTGCCTGCTCTTGTGACTGGCGCTGCTTTGCGCTGTCCGGAGCTTCTTTGTTCTTGTTTTGCTCCTTGAGACGCCTCAAGAGCATCCTGTCTCTCCACATCCTCCTCTCTAGCTCATCAACATCCACCTCCTCATCGCTGTAGTCTTCCTCCACAACAGCCTCGGTTTCCTGTTCGGTATCAGCCTCCCGGGGATGAGCCGATAAGAAGTCGATGTTACTGCAAAAGCCCATTTCTTCGAGGATACCCATCTATGACAAGAAGGCGGCAAAATCGACTTGCTTCGAGCGAATTGCCCAGTTCTCTCTCTCTCCAGACTGACCTAGAATCAAGCAGATCTTAATCACTTGAAGGTTTCAATATCTTTGCGGATCCAGCTCAAGATACATCTCATGACACCAGGATATGAACAATCTGGTTCAGTCCCCTGCAACCAGAACGATAAATAAAGTAAAACTTAGGGACAACCCCCACCATAAATATGTTCACACGGTAAATGAAACTGGCAACAAAATCAATATTTATCCCCCATTTAATGCTCTACACAGCTAATTAAAGACACTAATTGGGCAACTAAGGCAAGCAAACAAGATTTCACACGTAGAAATTTCGAGAACACAAAAACGCCACGCATCAAGAAACAAGCCATATATGGAGATGATCGAAAAAGAGAAACAAAGCCTTATCCTCTCCCCAGCTAGTTCTCAAGTATCGGAACTGAAATCAAAACAGAATAAAATACAGAGACAGAAATGAGCCCACTTTTTCAGAGAGCGGGCATCAAAACCAATTAGGGAGAGTTTTATGTCCCACGTAACCCCAAGAGGGAAAAGAGATTTGTAAAGCTAAACCCACTCAGGAAAAGGACTTACAGACCCAAGAACGGAAACAGAGTTATTCAGATCTGCCACGCACGTCATCCATTGGTATTCAAAATCCTATGCAGATATCCCTGTCACAAAAGTAATCAGCAGAGGAATCAGAGAAGCAGAGAAACGTGTACACTCCACATACAATGACAACTACAGTGGCTCGCCAGCCACAATCACAGAACCCGCGCAAATATCTGACCCCAGGAAAGGCCTAAGGCCAAAGCCACGAGCCCACGTGCGCGTTCATGCAGTTGCAGAGCCAATAGATTCCAGGCGAAAACACTCCATGCCCAACGAATAATAAAACAAGAAGAAGAAGAAGAAGAAGACGACTTCCCGGTAAGCAAGAACAGTACTTGAAAACAAAAACAAAAAAAGAACAAAAACGCGAGAATCTTGCAACACGAGCTACTTCCGAGAGACATCGAACCCAACCAACCACAAAGCGCGAAACTCACTGGCTTGGAGCTCGCTAACAACAACAACAACACCAGCAAGGAAACGAAGCAGAGCCCACGAAGAAATGAGAAGGGGAAAAGGCTACGTTTCGAGAAGGGCATGTGGGTACCGTTCGATCTTCCCCTTCCGGAGGAGCATTCAGACTCTTCTTCTTCTCCTCCTCCTCCTCCTTCCCGCAGATTCTTCAACGAAAACAGACGAGAGAGAGAGAGAGAGAGAAAGGCTCTGTTTTTTTTTTTTTTTCTTCTTTTCTTTTTTGTTCCTCTTATGTGCGATTCTCCATGAACATGTTTTTTCTCCTTTACGTGAAAAAGGGAGAAAAATGTCAAGGGGGCCGGGGTATTTATCAAACCACGGTCGGGTTAAATCCCCGACCGCGGTTAAGCCGCGGCTCCCGACGAGACGAGCCGAGCCGAGCCGACGCTGGGGAATGCCTACGGTGTGTAACGCTCGCACCGGCGGCATAAAATGTCCGATCCCTGTCCGGCCGACACGCTCGGCATTCAATGCCGGATCCCTCTAAATCTTCCCACGCGCATGATGAATTCGATACGCTAGTGCCAAATGATCTTGTCTCCAACCTTAATTGGCAATTACAACTAATCCTTCATTAAGTTAATGAATATCCGAACGGATCAGAGCATATGACGATCGCGAACCCGGCGACCCGCTGGGTCGGACCCCGGGTTCGGCCGGCCCGGAGGGGCCGGAACTGGGGACGAGCCTAGGCAGACATATTCGCCTTCCCGGGCCGGCCGATTTCGTCCGCCCGAGCGCGATGTTTTTGGTCACCGCGCGCTTAAGAAAGGGGGGTCGTCCGAAGGGACGGAGGAGGGGATGCCGGAGGTGCAGGGCAGGGGCGGTGAGCGCGGGCGCACCGGATCAGGCCCAACCGGGTACAGCTGCGAGAGCCGAGACGGCGCTTGCCGAACGTGCGCGAAAGGGGGGGGGGACGCCCGAAACCAAAGCCTTCTCTTCCTGGAAGGGACGGCCCACGTTCTCCGGTGATTTTACGATCCTGCCCCTCCCTAGCCTCCTTTTTCCAATTACGCCCCAAAGAGGGGCTCGAAATTATTAATGTTTTTTGGTGAATTCACGGGGTTCGCTTCACGGGGTCCCATTCGCCGCCCCCGCTCCCTCCCTTGGAATTCATGTGATTTCCGACCTTCTTCGATGGATATTCGATCGAATTTTATTTTTTTCCGCGAGACGGGTTTTAAATTACCGGAAAAGATCGGGCGATGGTAAAGATGTCGGACGGGCTCGTTCCGAGTCCCTTTTTTTTTTGGTTACCCGGGAGAGTCGGACCGGGGGCGTCCGGAGGGCGCGAGGACAACGATGTCATTTGGGCGAGAGGGCCTCGTTTGTCGGGAGCGGAAGGGGGCCATCCCATTGACAAAAAGGAAGGAGATATTTTTATTAGTTATCCTTTTGAGTTTCTGCGAAATGAAAAAAAAAAAATTTAATTATCTTTTTTACCCTTTTTTGTCCTTTTCTTTTTCTTTGTGTTTTTTTTTTTTTGGGGTGGGGGGTGGGGGGGCGCAGCCGCCGGAGCGCACGGGGGAGGGGGGGGCATGTGCTGCGACTTCCGAAGCCACTGAGGAGCTGCCACGCGTCCCCCCTTCTCGAGGTGGGGCCCCCGCTACCTTGTTCGTGTTGTTTGTCGGAGAGTGGAGGACACGTCACCTCCTCTGGCAGGTGGCGAAACCTCTGCGGAGGAGGAGGAGGAGGAAGGGATTTCTGGTTCGGTGGTCCGGGCTACACGTAAGCTCAGATGGATTCGACCCGTCGATGCTGGGTGATCCGGCGCGGGGGCCCGTGTTAACCGACGGCCGAGATGCGATGGGCTCACGGGCACCCCGGGTCACTTGAGAATCATTCTTCTTTGACTCTCTCTCTATCTCTATCTCTATCTCTCCTCCTTATCCTCTTCCCCTAGCCGACGATTCCAGTAACTTGTTCCCATCCCCGCGGGGGGTGGGGGCCCTCCTCCAAGATGGGCCGACAAAACGGGGCCCCGGCCCATTTACCAGTCCGACCCAGGCAAGCCACGACGTCGTGGGCGACAGGGAGGGATAAAAAAAAAAAAAGAATTTAGAGAAAAAGGAAAAATCCGAATATAGATGATGACCATTCCATTCTAAAATTTTTTAAAATAGCTAAAGACGAGCTCACGACATATTACTTGAGACATTTGAACTCCCAGAACTAAAAGCTTTTTGCGTTGCTGTGAAAAGACCGTCGCTTTTTCCCTAAAAGTTTTTGACTGGCGAGAGAGCGCGCAAAGCTGTGCATCCTCGTGGTGATCCGCTTACTAAACCGCGTCCGGACCGTCGAGCCCGGCGGGTCCCACGAGAGCGGCCCTTTCATCGAAACTAGCGGTGCGAATACGGTTCGACAAATTGAACACGGCTCACCAGACAATTTCTCGGGATTAATGACACTAATAATTCTTAAACTTTACCACCCGCCTGGGTGGCGCTGCTGGAGCGCGCACTCTTCCTCTCGCAAAAGGTTGAGTGTTCGAATCCCGGGTGCCGCAGGGTGACTTAACCGGTGCACGTGTGTGTGGTGGCTAGCACGTGTCGCCCCCAGGGTTTACCTCCCGGCTGTCGGCCGTGCGGGGGTTCCCTGGGTCATCAAAAAAAAAAAAATTCTTGAACTTTAACCCAATGTGTAATGTTGTGCAATGTGATCGTTGGACTTTTGATTTGTTCAATGTCGTCCCCGAACTTTGGCTCAGTGTGTAATGTGGTTTCCGAACTTTTAAATTGTCTAACGTGATCCTTATACTTTTAGTACATATTTAACTTAGTCGATAAACTATATGAAAATGTTCGACGCTGTCCCTGAACTTGAATAAATGGAAGGACAATATTGAATATTTTCATATAATTTAAGGGTTAAACTGAATATTTACTAAAAGTCTAAAGACCACATCGAATAAGTTGAAAGTTCGGGAACCACATTGCGCATTGCACATTGCCCTATAATTTAGGGACCATTGAACAAATTAAAAAAATCAAGGCCACACTGTACATTGAGCCAAAGTTACCATTCGTGTCATTATCCCGAGAATTCTCTCTCTCGCCCTATGGAGAATGCTCGATAAATTCGTGTGGACCGGACAGCTTTAAAAGGCTCAGAAACAAACTATTTCTATCAGAAGTTGGGCTGAGGAAGAGAAGGGCTCGAGGCCCTATCAGATTGCAGTGGTCGATCACTCCCATACGGAAAAAACGAACCGATTGATAGATAAATCAGTCGATGATAAACATATTGGAGATCTAGTTCGACCCGTCATCGCCAAGCCATACCAAGAAAAGAAAAGAAAAGAAAAGAAAATTTGATTTCTTCAATCTTTATAGCTATATAATATTGGTCGGTTTCCGTGCCAAATCTTCTTGAAAATAATTTCATTTATATAAGTCAAACCCCACAAAATGTTATCTGCTGTTTTTGCTGCTGCTTCGCAAACATGAGAGCCACTCTCCAACCCCAAAAGAGGAACCCGAACATCCGGACAACATCATCATCTTTGACCTTATGTTTTGGCGTTTCATATATTTGCTTTGTGCCTCGCACGTAGTCCCTCGCCCCAGAGCCCATGCACGGCCCCCATGTATATACATACCGCCGACGTCCATACCAGGCATCACCACCACCACCACAGCAGCGAAGCGCAGAAGATCATCTCCGAGCTGCGCATCAATGGCTTCTACGATCAAGGCCTGTGGGAAGATCAGTGAAGCCGAGCAAGCGGCGCTCGACGCTCGTCGCCGAACCCAGAAGCGAACCATTGTCGTGGGCTTGTCCTCCGTCGCTCTCGTTGCCGTCGTGGTCGCCGCGATGGTCGGTACTTCGGTGCACGCCGGCAACAGGAGAGGCGGCGAGGCTCAACCTCTCTCGACCTCGGTGAAGGCCGTGTGCGATGTCACGCTGTACAAGGACTCGTGCGTCAGCTCCCTCGCCCCGAGGGCCAACTCGAGCGGCCCGGTCCGCCCGGAGGATCTGTTCAAGCTGTCGATCCAAGTGGCCCTGGAGGCGCTGGCCAAGGCCGCGGGGTATTTCTCCGAGCAAGGAACGGTCTTCAATAACACCGCGGCGGAGGGGACGGCAAGCGCGGCGCTGGACAGCTGCCGCGTGCTCCTTGGGCTCGCGATGGACTCTCTGAACAGCTCGCTGTCATCGAGCGACGCCTCGAACTTGTTCGATTCGGCGGACGATCTCAAGACCTGGCTCAGCGCGGCCGGGACATCCCAACAGACGTGCATCGATGGGTTTGATGGATCAGCAGGAGCGATTAAAGAGATTGTTGCGAACCATCTCGAAGACTCAGGCGAACTGACGAGCAATAGTCTTGCGATCATCACTTGGATTTCAAACATCGCGAGCTCAATCAAGCTACGGTGGCTCATGAGCTTGCCTCGCCCCCACCACCACCACCTCGGCCACCACCATCACCACAAAGTGCCGAAATGGGTGCACCGGAAAGAGCGCGAGCTGCTTCAGAGCTCCGATTTGAGGAAGAAGGCGAATGCTGTTGTGGCCAAAAACGGTTCGGGCAAGTACAAGACCATCGGAGCCGCACTTGACGCCGTGCCCGACAAGAGCAAGGACACGTTCGTGATCTACGTGAAGAAGGGGGTCTACAGCGAGAACGTGCAGGTCGAGAAGTCGAAGTGGAACGTTATGATGGTCGGGGACGGGATGGATGCAACGGTCGTCACCGGTAGCCTGAACGTCATTGACGGGACTCCGACGTTTCAGACCGCAACTTTCGGTAATTCACTCCTTCGCGAGCTCTTCCTCATTTTGCCTGTTTGATAATGATAATGTTCATGTCTTGGCATTACTCCATTTGTGGAAAGTAAGGTTTAACTATAATTGAACATTTCCACTTTGCAGCTGTGTTTGGCAAAGGCTTCATTGCTTCGGACATGGGATTCCGCAACACCGCTGGCCCGGCCAAGCACCAAGCGGTGGCTCTCATGTCGACCGCCGACCAGTCGATTTTCTACCGGTGCTGCATCGACGCCTTCCAGGATTCCCTCTACACTCACTCCAACCGCCAGTTCTACCGGGACTGTAACATCTACGGGACGGTTGACTTCATCTTCGGGAACTCCGCGGTCGTCTTCCAGAACTGCACCATCCTACCCAAGACGCCCATGGTTGGCCAGCAAAACACCATCACCGCTCAAGGCAAGTTCGACCCTAACCAGAACACCGGCATCTCGATCCAGAACTGCACCATCTGGCCAGCGGGGAACTTGACCAACGTCCAGACGTTCCTCGGGCGGCCGTGGAAGAACTACTCTACCACGGTGTACATGCGCTCCACGATGTCCAACATCATCAGCCCAAACGGGTGGCTGCCGTGGGTCGGCAACTCAGCCCCGGACACCATATACTACGCGGAATTCCAGAATTACGGACCAGGGTCTAACACGAAGTACAGAGTCAAGTGGAAGGGACTGAGATCGAACCTATCTACCAAGCAAGCTAGCAAGTTCACGGTCAAATCCTTCACCAAAGGTGAAAAATGGATCAAGCCGGCGAATATCCCGTATGACCCTAGTTTGTGAATTTGATACTGTCGAGCTCTCCTATTGCCGGCTTTTTTTTGGGGGGGTGTCTTTTGCTTGCTGATTGATTATTTTGTAGGGTTGTCGTAATTCAATTCTCCTATACGTAATGCCTTGATTGATTGGGATTGAAGGGAACGAAACAAGAATACTAATTGAATGAGCTGATTATTCATCGTCATGGTGTTTCTTCCTTCAATACAGTCTGTTTCAATTCATGTCCTTTGGTATTATCCTCTGGACTTCCTCCATGCACACCCCCGAGTCAAAACCAGACTTCAAATTACAAATCAAGACACCATCTCAAGGAACCAATCCGAGTCGAGCCTAAAATTTGTTCGCGAGCTCGTCCAAATGGAAGAGTTGCACAGGTCCATTGATCTCATGCTCGTGAACTAGTCTACTATAGACCTAGTCATGGGTCTAGGGGCGTGCTCGGCCCTCCGGTCTTGAAGCACGATTTGAGCTGGCTTGGAAAAGCAATTCCTTCTATGGACCGATCTTTCTATGAAGAATATTTTTGACATATTTTACAACATGGGTGGACCTAAATACGTTAGTTTAGACTTGATATACCAACGCTTACTGCTCATTGATCAAGTCTAGTCTAAAACCTCGAGAATCGCTTGCAAGTTTGATGTGTATGGGCCCATTTCCATCTTTTTGGGCTATGGGACCCATGTGATACTATCAAAGCAGCCATTCACCCATGGACAAGTCCATCCATTGTTTATATCATGTGATATATTGGTGGGACATAACAAATTATATGATGAGTTGTTTCCATTATAGTTCTCAAGCTATCTCGCGTGTAAATTTAACGAGATTATATGCTCAAGAAATGTCATATCGAAACGTTATGTGTTATGACTGTCACATAACATACTATTCCAGGTCAACTACAGAAGCACATAACCAAAGCTCCCAACATCTCACTTGCAAGAAACCCATCCATGGTCAATTATTTTGTGGCTGGAAATTGTATTATCATTTTGACAGTTCTGAAAGAAAGAACAAAAAAATATGTGCTTCTTTCTTAGTTTCCCTTAAATGCGTGAATCAATCTCTCTATGGCATATGCTCGTGTTGTCGCCCGCTTTGTTGCTATTAATAGACAATAGCAACGCCATGAATGAATGTTAGCGATGGTACCATGTGTATGTGTTGAAATTTTGTTTGGATTCTTCAAGAGCACTTGAGCATAGTAAATCCTAGCTGTTGAATAATTTGGATCTTACGTAAGATGCACATGATCCAACGGCTGATTCATTAAATTGATGTGCACCTAAATCATGCAAGTACTACTCATACATCGAGGGGTTCGCTCGTTTCCAAACAGCACGAGCCCCAAAATTGGACTCCAACCTCTTCTCGTTAATTACAAGCCCTAAATGGACGTTTATCTCGGACTGTTGAGTAAAACTCCTATTGATTTTGAAGTTGACAAAACCTTCTATGTTATTGTAAATCTGATACTTATTATGAACAAATTTATTCCAGGTCTGTATATTCTGGAAGCTCAGAAGAAAGTTATTCAGACTTTACAAACTGTCAAGTATGTTTTTGAAGACCCATATAATCTAGGTTCTGAGATTCAGACGCAGAAGTTATTCAGATGCAGATGTAGAAGTAGAAGTTATTCAGATGCAGATGCAGACGCAGACGAAGAAATTATTCAGACGCAGAATTCAGAACGTAACACAACAGCTAGTGATCTGGCATGGATTTCACAGAAGGAATGTTCTGATTGTCTCAATCTGAATCAAATTGATTGACAATCAAACATCACGACAAGAATGCATTACAACGGACAAAACTCTACTTATAGAAACCAAGATTCTGATTGTATGGGCGACCAGAATCAGCGGGATTCAGAATCTGTCATCCAATGGCTACTCAATCCTTATTATACAAATCTGTCCAAGGTGAAGATTGGAAGATGATCCTCTGAAAGCTGTCCAACGGCTAGTAGAGGAGTATTTAAGAGGATCAACGAGCAGCAGAAGGAAGTACAGAATCAAGAATCAACGAGTCCAAAGTCTGAGCATACTCCAATCATTTATCTTGTCGTTCTGAGCCAAACATTAAGATCTTGAGGGACACTTTGTAAGAGTGATTGTGATATGAATCTGTGCGGAAGATGATCGTTTTACGAAGATCTGTGAGTTACGAATTGCTGACCTCGACCCCCAATCGAACCTGTGATTGGTAATCTCGGTATGAACGCGACCTGTTGACGAACCTGTGTCAACCAATCCACGTTATAACGCCACGAACAAGAGAATTCGCGATCTTGCTCGATAAGTTGAATTCGATCGCCACAAGGGAACCTTGATAAGATCTAGTCCTCAAGAGAACTCAAGAAGAAAACTTCTCTATATAAAATTCTGTCCTCCTTTTAGAAATCTATAAGCAACCTTATATAGGGTGCTAACCCTAATCCTAATCATACTAGGATTAAAATTACAAAAATAACCTTAATTACTAAAAATTCGTCCAAAAATGGAAAAAAGGCCTAAAAGTTCATCTAAACGACTCCAAATCGCTAAAAAACATCATCAATCACTACTAAAGTAGTGAGTATTAATCAGCGGCCCGTTTCCAAGGGTCCATCCAAATTTGAGCCAATTCGGAGTTTGTCAATTCTAAGCTCCTTCGGAATTCGCTGGACCAAGAGTAATCATGTTGCGCCAAGGAGCTTCAGAATCTTCAAGTTTCGAATCCAGATTGTCCCCATTCCAAATATCTTGAACCATTATGCCGACAGCTTGTTTGAATTCCTTCGCTCTCGCTCGAGTGATCGGGCCTAGCGAATAGAACAACGGGTCCCTAGCACCTCCTCCTCGATAGGGTTCGATGTCCACATCATTCCCTCCCCCGTGCAAAGGATTTGCCCTCAAATCAGCGTCTGCATCAAAAAGAGTCAAATTAGAAACATTGAAAGTAGCACTAATACCGTACTCACCTGGAAGGTCAAGCTTGTAAGCATTATCGTTGACTCTTTCCAACACCATAAAATGTTCATCCCCTCGCGGTAGCAATTTAGAGCGTCGCTGTTTGGGGAAACGCTCTGTGCGCATATGAACCCAAACCCAATCACCGGGCTCAAACACTACTTTCTTGCGCCATTTGTTGGCTTGCTTTGCATACTGCTCTGTCTTAAGCTCAATATTCAGCCGCGTCTTCTCATGCAAAGTCTTCACAAATTCAGCTTTCTTAGCACCATCTAAATCCACACGCTCAGCAACAGGCAAAGGGGTTAAATCTAACGGAGTTAAGGGATTAAAACCATAGACAACCTCAAACGGTGTGAATTTAGTAGCAGAATGCACGCTTCTCTTATAAGCAAATTCAACATGCGGTAAACAATCTTCCCAAGATTTAATGTTCTTTTTAATGATAGCACGCAACAATGTCCCTAAAGTCCTGTTAACTACTTCAGTTTGACCATCAGTTTGTGGATGACAAGTAGTAGAGAATAAAAGTTGTGTACCTAACTTCTTCCACAATGTCTTCCAAAAGTAACTTAGAAATTTAGTATCTCGATCAGAAATAATGGACCTAGGCATGCCATGCAAACGCACAACCTCACGAAAGAACAATTTAGCAACATTCGATGCATCATCAGATTTATGACAAGGTATAAAATGAGCCATCTTTGAAAATCGATCAACAACCACAAAAATAGAATCCTTGCCATGCTTAGACCTAGGCAATCCTAACACAAAATCCATAGAGATATCAACCCAAGGATGCGTTGGGATAGGCAAAGGTGTATATAAACCATGTGGTTTAATCGTAGACTTAGCCTGCTTACATGCGATACATCTCTCGCAAACTCGTGTGACATCTCGTTTCATGTGTGGCAAAAAAAATGTTCATGCAGCACTTCATAAGTCTTATTGATTCCAAAATGCCCCATTAAACCACCACTATGTGCCTCTCGCACTAATAACTCGCGCAAAGAGCATCTAGGCAAACACAACTTATTTTCACAAAAGAGATATCCATCATGCCTATAAAACTTTTCAAACGCAGCATGCTCACAAGCTTCAAATACTCTTCCAAAATCATCATCGTCAGCGTATAAACCTTTGATATGCTCGAAACCTAGACACTTTGCTCCTAGAGTAGTTAGAATTGCGTACCTTCGAGAAAGTGCATCGGCTACCACATTTTCCTTACCTTTTTTGTACTTGATTAGATATGGAAAAGTCTCAATGAACTCCATCCATTTGGCATGTCTTTTGTTCAACTTTTGCTGCCCCCTCAAGTACTTTAAGGTCTCGTGGTCGGTGTAGATCACAAACTCTTTTGGCCACAAGTAATGTTGCCAAGTCTCCAAAGCTCGCACCAAAGCATACATTTCCTTATCGTAAGTCGGATAATTCAATGTCGCTCCGCTTAACTTCTCGCTAAAATACGCTATGGGACGTCCTCCTTGCATCAACACAGCTCCAATTCCTGTACCAGAAGCATTGCATTCTATCTCAAAAGTAGTACTGAAATTCGGTAAAGATAATAAAGGAGCATTAGTCAGCTTATCGTTTAACAGATTGAATGCTCTCTCTTGCTCTTCTCCCCAAGTGAAACCCACGTGCTTCTTGATAACCTCGGTTAAAGGTGCGGCGATGGTGCTGAAATCTTTTACAAATCTACGATAGAAACTGGCTAAACCATGAAAGCTGCGCACCTCTCCTACTGTCTTAGGTGTCGGCCATTCACGGATTGCTTTCACCTTTTCTTCATCAACCTGTATTCCATCAGCACCAACAACAAAGCCTAGAAATACTAATTTGTCAGTTACAAAACAGCACTTCTTTAGGTTAGCATATAATTGCTCAGCCCTTAAAACCTGCAAAACAGCTCGCACATGCTCAATATGGTCATCAAGGCTTCGACTATATATCAAGATATCATCAAAATAGACAACTACAAATCGACTAATAAAAGCACGCAGAACATGATTCATAAGTCGCATGAAAGTACTAGGTGCATTAGTTAAACCGAATGGCATGACTAACCACTCATACAACCCGTACTTGGTCTTAAATGCAGTTTTCCATTCATCCCCCTCTTTTATCCTAATTTGATATTTGTAAGGACCTGGGATCTACACTGTGTAATATTGTCCGCTTTGGGCCCACTGACCCTCACGGCTTTAAAACGCGTTACACAGAATAGAGAACCCAAGCCTTATAAACTAGCCCAGGACTCCCCCCCTAAGCGATGTGGGACAGAGACATGCCCCCCTTGCCATCCTAGAAGCCTGCCAAGAGCCGCTCCTTGTCCAGGCCCTCTGGCCCCGGCGACCACTCTCCGCCCTCGTCGGACCGGGTCGTTACATTCTCCCCTCCTTCGAGCACAGCGTCCTCGCTGTGGCCCCACACGCGGTCGGGAGTCAGCTCTGATACAATTTGTAAGGACCCGGGGTCTACACTGTGTAATATTGTCCGCTTTGGGCCCACTGACCCTCACGGCTTTAAAACGCGTTACACAGGATAGGCCACCCAGGCCTTATAAGCAACCCCAGGACTCCCCCCCTAAGCGATGTGGGACAGAGAGATGCCCCCCTTGCCATCCTAGAAGCCTGCCAGGAGCCGCTCCTTGTCCAGGTCTTTGAACCCCGGCAACCACTCCCCGCCCTCGTCGGACCGGGTCGTTACATTCTCCCCTCCTTCGAGCACAGCGTCCTCGCTGTGGCCCCACACGCGGTTGGGAGTCGGCTCTGATATCACTTGTAAGGACCTGGGATCTACACTGTGTAATATTGTCCGCTTTGGGCCCACTGACCCTCACGGCTTTAAAACGCGTTACACAGAATAGAGAACCCAAGCCTTATAAACTAGCCCAGGACTCCCCCCTAAGCGATGTGGGACAGAGACATGCCCCCCCTTGCCATCCTAGAAGCCTGCCAAGAGCCGCTCCTTGTCCAGGCCCTCTGGCCCCGGCGACCACTCTCCGCCCTCGTCGGACCGGGTCGTTACATTCTCCCCTCCTTCGAGCACAGCGTCCTCGCTGTGGCCCCACACGCGGTCGGGAGTCAGCTCTGATACCATTTGTAAGGACCCGGGGTCTACACTGTGTAATATTGTCCGCTTTGGGCCCACTGACCCTCACGGCTTTAAAACGCGTTGTCTTGGGTAGAGGCACTCTTTGGCCCTTCCTCCCCTAAGCCCAATATTGTCCTCTTTGGGGCGCTCTCTGGCCCTTCCCCTCAAGGCTTTGTTCTCATCATGGGCTTGCTTCCGCTGCGCATGATGAGAACAAAGCCTTGAGGGGAAGGGCCAGAGAGCGCCCCAAAGAGGACAATATTGGGCTTAGGGGAGGAAGGGCCAAAGAGTGCCTCTACCCAAGACAACGCGTTTTAAAGCCGTGAGGGTCAGTGGGCCCAAAGCGGACAATATTACACAGTGTAGACCCCGGGTCCTTACAATAATAACCACTTTTCATATCAATTTTAGTAAATATACAAGCTCCATGCAATTCATCCAACATGTCATCTAGCCTAGGAATATGATGTCGATACTTTACCGTTATGTTATTGATTGCTCGGCAATCAATACACATTCGCCAAGACCCATCCTTCTTTGGCACCAACAAAACAGGAACAACACATGGGCTAAGAGACTCTCTCACATATCCTTGCTTTAGTAATTCGCTAACTTGCTGCTGAAGTTCCTTTGTCTCTTCAGGATTGCTTCGATATGTGGGTCGGTTAGGCAATGGTGCACCGAGAATCAAATCGATTTGATGCTTTATGCCTCGAATCGGTGGTAAACCTCCAGGAAGCTCATCAGGAAAGACATCTTCAAATTCCTGCAATAAAGACACGACAGAACTTGGCAAATTCGGGTCAAGTTCGTTAGTAGTAAACAGTGCCTCCTTGTACAAAAGTACAAGTATCGGTCGGTCCAGAATCAAAGCTCTCCTCACTTCACTAGATTTTGCATAGAAATTCTTTTCTCTCTTTTCTTTTCTCTCTCCTTTTCTCTCGGTTTTTTTTACCACTCTACTCTTATCTTCCTCTCCTTTTATTTGCGTCTCAGAGTTTCCACGCAGGCCCTCAGTTTTATCACTTTTTCTCTCTCTCTCTCAGCCTCACGTTGTAGTTTCAATTGATCTTCATACACTTCAGTAGGTGTCATTGGCACCAATGTGTATGTCTTCTGATTCATCACCAATGAATATCGATTAGTGTACCCGTCATGATGTACCTTTCGATCATACTGCCATGGCCTACCAAGTAAAAGATGCCCTGCTTGCATAGGTATAACATCACACATCAGCTCATCCTTATATCGCCCTATCTCAAATGGAACTCGGACTTGCTTCGATACTTTTACTTCACCACTATCATTCAAGCACTGCAATCTATATGGTCTTGGATGCTTTGCAGTCTTCAATCCCAATTTCTCCACCATGGTACAACTTGCTACATTTGTACAACTACCTCCATCAACAATCAAGCTACAAATCTTACCATTCACCAAGCATCTTGTATGGAACAAGTTATCGCGTTGCTGGTGATGCTCCTCCTCTTTGACTTGAACACTAAGAGAATGCCTAACCACCATCAATTCACCCTTTGCTGGCATCTCAACATCACTACAATCCTCCAATAGTGGCATGTTATCATCCTCTTCCTCCCTCTCACTTTCTGATTCAATATCATCATGTCCAGTCATGATCATCACCCTCCTGTTAGGGCACTGATTTGCCATATGACCCCTGCCCAAACACTTGAAACATTTAATATCACGAGTTTTAGTGTTAGGGTTTTCAGTTTTACCTGAAGCCGGATTCGAACCAACTTTGCCATCCTTCTCCTTCTCCTTCAAAGTTTCAGTCTTGATATTGTTTCCCTTCCAATTCGGCTTCTCGTCTCTCTTCCAATTAGACTTCCAATTCGAGCTTGAACCTCCATCACTCTTGTAAGTTCGATCCAACTTCAATTGCCGCTCAACTTTGATGGCTTTGTCCACTAATTCCTCCAATTCAACGTAGTGTTGCAGCTCTACCACCCTTGCTATATCTCGGCTCAAACCACACAAAAATCGTGACATTGTGGCCTCACGGTCTTCCACCACATTAGCACGGATCATAGCAATCTCCATCTCTTTATGGTATTCTTCCACACTCATATTACCTTGTGTGAGATTTTGCAGCTTATGGAACAAGTCTCTGTAGTAATGACTAGGTATAAAGCGCCTCCTCATCACTGCTTTCATCTCATCCCACATTTCTATTGGTCTTTCACCATTGCGTCTCCTGGTAGTCACAAGTTGATCCCACCAAATTATAGCATAATCAGTAAATTCAACCGCTGCAATTTTTACCTTTTTGAGCTCCGAATATCGCTGGCAATCAAATACCATCTCCATCCGTTTCTCCCATTCTAGATACGCATCAGGATCATTCTTTCCTTGAAAAGATGGAATCTTCATCTTAATGTTGCCAAGCTCATCATCTTCTCGACGTCTAAATCCTCGGCGTCCGTTTCTCCTCTCAAACCTGCCATCTCGATCATCTTCTGTATCGGATACATATACATCATCAAATTGCCGCTGCCATCTAGGTTGTGCCCTAGGTTCCTCTCACTGATTTTGTGGCCTCCCTCTTGGTGGCTCTTGGTCATCTTCAAGTCTTGTCTCACATCTTGCAACTCTGTTGCTAAGTGCTTCAATTTGTAAACTCAATTGCTGGATGCCTGCTAGAATCGCATCATCCCTTGGATGAGTGCGATCCTCCCTTTGATTCACACTTCCCTTGCCTGAGCCTGACATTTTTTTTTTCAAACCTGCAAGAAAATGTTAGAGATAAAAGAAATCTCACTAGTCACTCCCTCACGTTTTCCGCTCAAAGTGTTTGTCACTCCTCTCGTGTTTAACTCAATTTCGGCTTTTTCTTCCCTCAATTAGTCTCACACACTCTTGCCTTTTACCTCTCATTTCCTTCTAGCAAGCTCTTTTTTTCAGACTTGAATCCAGTCTCACAAGCTCCTCACAACAATCGATAAACCACCAAGCAAGATCAAATTCAGCAATATACCGCTCAACTCAGCAATTCAAAGAAATTTTCGCTAAATTCGGATTCAGATTTAATTTCTGCTACTGAAAATTTTTTTTTATTCGGTCCAACTATCAATGATAAAAAAAAACGAGTCGTCCTCTTGAAATTTTTTTTTTTGCCGAAACTTTTTTTTTGTTTTTTTTTGCCGATTTTTTTTTGGCTTTTTTTTTTGCCGAATTTTTTTTTTGGCTTTTTTTTTGACGAACTCAAGTACAATATAAAAAAAAAACTAGGACCGAAAACCCTAAATTAAAATTGAAATCACAGCAAGAACAAATTCAGAACCCTAATTCTATAAACCCTAGATTGATGAATGAAAAGCAGTAAAAGTAGGATAACTAGACCTTGTAGAACCAGCTCTGATACCAGATAATATGAATCTGTGCGGAAGATGATCGTTCTACGAAGATCTGTGAGTTACGAATTGCTGACCTCGACCCCCAATCGAACCTGTGATTGGTAATCTCGGTATGAACGCGACCTGTTGACGAACCTGTGTCAACCAATCCACGCTATAACGCCACGAACAAGAGAATTCGCGATCTTGCTCGATAAGTTGAATTCGATCGCCACAAGGGAACCTTGATAAGATCTAGTCCTCAAGAGAACTCAAGAAGAAAACTTCTCTATATAAAATTCTGTCCTCCTCTTAGAAATCTATAAGCAACCTTATATAGGGTGCTAACCCTAATCCTAATCATACTAGGATTAAAATTACAAAAATAACCTTAATTACTAAAAATTCGTCCAAAAATGGAAAAAAGGCCTAAAAGTTCATCTAAACGACTCCAAATCGCTAAAAAACATCATCAATCACTACTAAAGTAGTGAGTATTGATCAGCGGCCCGTTTCCAAGCGTCCATCCAAATTTGAGCCAATTCGGAGTTTGTCAATTCTAAGCTCCTTCGGAATTCGCTGGACCAAGAGTAATCATGTTGCGCCAAGGAGCTTCAGAATCTTCAAGTTTCGAATCCAGATTGTCCCCATTCCAAATATCTTGAACCATTATGCCGACAGCTTGTTTGAATTCCTTCGCTCTCGCTCGAGTGATCGGACCTAGCGGATAGAACAACGGGTCCCTAGCACCTCCTCCTCGATAGGGTTCGATGTCCACATCAGATTGTGTGAGATAGAGAGTTCTATCATACACAAGAGTGTTAACACTCAGAAGTTGTAATTCCCCTTGATTACATAGTGAAATCCAGCCGGTAGGCTGTAAGCGTGGGAGAGTGGACGTAGGCTTGCCATAAGCCGAACCACTATAAACTTGTGTGCAGATTCTCTATCCCTTATCTCTTACTTTACATTCTGCACATCAAGAGCACCGTCTATATAATCTGTCTTGAATCTGAATTTTATTCAATCTCTTCTGTGATTTATTTTGTTTCCACATAAATTATTAAAAATTATTTTAGATCACCTATTCACCCCCCTCTAGGTGATCCTTGCTAACTACATCAATTGGTATTAGAGCAGGTTGCTCATTTATTGAAGTGTCTTACTTCTGAGCTAACGATCTATATGGCTAGCTATGGTGCTCCAGGGCTCATTGAAGGACATAGCAACAACAGACCACCATATTTCGATGGCAAGGAATATAGTGTCTGAAAGAATAAGATGAAGGCATTCATAAAGTCAATTGATCACATGCAATGGGATGTCATCATCAGAGGAGTCAATCCAAGATCTTCTGATTCAAAAGAAAAGGCAGATGCAAGCATAGCAGCAGATCCTCCATTATCTCAAACTGAGATATCCAAAAGAGAAACCTTAGATTCCAAAGCAATTTATTCTCTCTATTGTGCTTTATCACCTATTGAATATAAAAAAATTGCTGCTTGTGAATCAGCTAAGGAAATATGGGATACTCTCCTTGTTACTTATGAAGGAACAGATCGTGCCAAGGAAACTCAAATCAATCTTTTGCTTGGTCAATATGAATCCTTCAAAATGAAGCCTGGAGAATCAATTGCTGATTTGTATGACAGGTTTACTGATATAGTAAACGGTCTTGCTTATCAAGGACAACCAGTTCCAGATGCAATGAAAGTCAACAAACTTCTGAGAGGACTGACAAATCAGTGGGATAACATCAAAACATCTCTTCGAGAGACACAAAGGATCAAGCCTCTATCAGTGAATGAGTTGATTGGAACTCTTCAATCATATGAGACTGAGAAACGGAATGAGGAGATTGAATCCAAAGGTGATAAATCAATTGCTTTGAAGACTAACATTGATTCTGATGCAGATTATGAAGATGAAGATGTTGACGATGAAGAACTAGCTCTCTTTATAAAGAAGTATAAGAAAATGAAGATCAAAGGAAGAAACCTCAAAGGTAAGAAGCCTTTTGAGAAGAAGAAGTCCTTCGATGAAACAGAGAGATCAAAGGATGTTATATGCTTTCACTGTAAGAAACGTGGACATATCAAGCCAAATTGTCCACTTCTAAAAAAGAAGACCAAGTTTGAGAAAGCAAAGAAGGCCTTAAAAGCAGAAACCTGGAATGATACAGAGTGTGAAGACAGTGTTGAAGATATCTCAAATTTCTGTCTAATGGCTAAGTCAGACTCAGACTCAGATTCTGATTCTGATCCCAAAGTGGAGATTGAGGTAAAACATTCTGACATGCCTATTGAAGTATCAAATTATATTGATGAATTATGCTTTGAATTCAAGACTGCTCTTAAATGCATCTCTTCTTTGAAAAAGGAAAATTCATCACTAAGGCAACAGGATGTTTCACAAAAAGAAAAAATCGATTTCCTTCAAAAAGAATTTCATCAAGTTAAGGAAAGTCGAGATTTTCTTTCCAAAGAAAAGGCGGTTTTGAAAAAGCAAGTTTCAGAAATTACTTCCAAGTTTTCAAAGGGTTCAGAAACCTTGAAGCATATCCTTTCTATCCAAATTCCTTACTACAACAAATCTGGTCTCGGATTTGTGAAGGAAAGTGATAGCTTAATTGATTTTCCAAAGGTCAAGGAGAGATTAAAACAAAGACCTCCTCGACAAGCTTATAAAAACCATTTCAAAAGAAATTTTGTAAAACCTGTTGGCCGAAGTGCACTCAGGTGCTCAAAATGTGGAGATCCACAACATTTTGAGAATGAATGTCCTAAGGTCTGGAGACTTGTTCGAAGAGATTTTGTTAAGACAGCCTATACTAATGCTCAAGGACCTAAACAAATTTGGGTACTAAAGAAAACTTGAGTTATTGTGATTTTTGCAGGTTACCACTGAGAGAAAAAGGAAGTGGTACCTAGACAGTGGATGCTCTAGATATATGACAGGAGATCTAAGCATATTCGTTGATCTACACAGTCTGAATGGTGGAAAAGTTTCCTTTGGAGGAAATACCAAAGGAAAAATTGTTGGCAAAGGAACAGTTGAAATTGGAGGACTTACAATCAATGATGTCTCTTTGGTGAAAGGACTAAACTACAACTTGATAAGCATAAGCCAACTATGTGATACAGGTTTTAGAATCAACTTTCAAGAAGATACATGCTTAGGGACAAGCAAAGATTCTTCTCAAACATTTACAGGAAGAAGACATGGCAATATATATCTTCTAGATGTCAATCCAAACTCCACTCATTGCTTGATCTCAATCAAAGAGGATGAAGATCTATGGCATAGAAGATTGGGGCATATCAGTATGAAACAAATCTCAAAGATCTCAAACAAGAAACTGGTTCGAGGTCTACCAGATTTGAAATACAAGAAAATAGAGTTATGCAATGCCTGCACTCTAGGAAAACAAGTAAGAAGTTCTTTCAAGTCTATTCATCATGTTTCCACTGATCGTGCTTTGCAGCTTCTTCATATGGATCTATTTAGACCAACCAGAACACAAAGTATTGGTGGTAAGAAATATTGTTTAGTCATTGTTGATGACTTCACAAGATTTACTTGGGTGTTCTTCCTTGCTCATAAAAATGAAGCATTTTCATATTTTTCAAAATTTGCAAAAAGAGTTCAGAATGAAAT